AAAAATATCTAATTTGAATTTGAACCAGCAGGGCGGCGATGGCGAGCGCTGTGGCGAGTGACAGCTCCATGATCCACCCCATCGTCTTCAGTCCTGAACCAGGGTCTGGGTCCAAGAGTCCGGGGTGAGTGGCCTCATTCAGATCCAGAGAAGAGAACATTTTCAGATTTCAAACTAATGCTCAATGGAGTAAAAGTAACTCAGTAACTGCCATCACGGGTACTTTTATACCCTCAGTCCTGGGTCTACAGTCTCAGTCCTGGGTCTACAGTCTCAGTCCTGGGTCTACAGTCTCAGTCCTGGGTCTACAGCCTCAGTCCTGGGTCTACAGTCTCAGTCCTGGGTCTACAGCCTCAGTCCTGGGTCTACAGCCTCAGTCCTGGGTCTACAGCCTCAGTCCTGGGTCTACAGCCTCAGTCCTGGGTCTACAGCCTGTCCTGGGTCTACAGCCTCAGTCCTGGATCTACAGCCTCAGTCCTGGGTCTACAGCCTCAGTCCTGGGTCTACAGTCTTAGTCCTGGGTCTACAGCCTCAGTCCTGGGTCTACAGCCTAAGTCCTGGGTCTACAGCCTCAGTCCTGGATCTACAGCCTCAGTCCTGGGTCTGCAGCCTCAGTCCTGGGTCTACAGCCTCAGTCCTGGGTCTACAGCCTCAGTCCTGGGTCTACAGCCTCAGTCCTGGGTCTACAGCCTCAGTCCTGGGTCTACAGCCTCAGTCCTGGGTCTACAGCCTCAGTCCTGGGTCTAAAGCCTCAGTCCTGGGTCTACAGCCTCAGTCCTGGGTCCACACAGCCTCAGTCCTGGGTCCACACAGCCTCAGTCCTGGGTCAACAGCCTCAGTCCTGGGTCAACAGCCTCAGTCCTGGGTCTACAGCCTCAGTCCTGTGTCCACACAGCCTCAGTCCTGGATCTACAGCCTCAGTCCTAGGTCCACACAGCCTCAGTCCTGGGTCTACAGCCTCAGTCCTGGGTCCACACAGCCTCAGTCCTGGGTCTACAGCCTCAGTCCTGGGTCCACACAGCCTCAGTCCTGGGTCCACACAGCCTCAGTCCTGGATCTACAGCCTCAGTCCTGGGTCTACATTCATGGACATTGGTCTCTCTTATGGACCAATTCATATGTGTATATTTTGTGTTTTAACTGTTGATTCTCTGATCTGTGTTTGTGATTTTAATGGTTTTGATAAGTCTCTGAGATGATGCTGTCACTGTATTGTATTGTGAAATAAAAATATCTAATTTGAATTTGAACCAGCAGGGCGGCGATGGCGAGCGCTGTGGCGAGTGACAGCTCCATGATCCACCCCATCGTCTTCAGTCCTGAACCAGGGTCTGGGTCCAAGAGTCCGGGGTGAGTGGCCCTCATTCAGATCCAGAGAAGAGAACATTTTCAGATTTCAAACTAATGCTCAATGGAGTAAAAGTAACTCAGTAACTGCCATCACGGGTACTTTTATACCCTCAGTCCTGGGTCTACAGTCTCAGTCCTGGGTCTACAGTCTCAGTCCTGGGTCTACAGCCTCAGTCCTGGGTCTACAGTCTCAGTCCTGGGTCTACAGCCTCAGTCCTGGGTCTACAGCCTCAGTCCTGGGTCTACAGCCTCAGTCCTGGGTCTACAGCCTCAGTCCTGGGTCTACAGCCTGTCCTGGGTCTACAGCCTCAGTCCTGGATCTACAGCCTCAGTCCTGGGTCTACAGCCTCAGTCCTGGGTCTACAGTCTTAGTCCTGGGTCTACAGCCTCAGTCCTGGGTCTACAGCCTCAGTCCTGGGTCTACAGCCTCAGTCCTGGGTCTACAGCCTCAGTCCTGGGTCTAAAGTCTCAGTCCTGGGTCTACAGTCTCAGTCCTGGGTCTACAGCCTCAGTCCTGGGTCTACAGCCTCAGTCCTGGATCTACAGCCTCAGTCCTGGGTCTACAGCCTCAGTCCTGGGTCCACACAGCCTCAGTCCTGGGTCAACAGCCTCAGTCCTGGGTCTACAGTCTCAGTCCTGGGTCTACAGCCTCAGTCCTTGGTCTACAGCCTCAGTCCTGGGTCCACACAGCCTCAGTCCTGGGTCCACACAGCCTCAGTCCTGGGTCCACACAGCCTCAGTCCTGGGTCTACAGCCTCAGTCCTGGGTCCACACAGCCTCAGTCCTGGGTCCACAGCCTCAGTCCTGGGTCTACAGCCTCAGTCCTGGGTCTACAGCCTCAGTCCTGGTTCTACAGTCTCAGTCCTGGGTCTACAGCCTCAGTCCTGGGTCTACAGCCTCAGTCCTGGATCTACAGCCTCAGTCCTGGGTCTACAGCCTCAGTCCTGGATCTACAGCCTCAGTCCTGGGTCCACACAGCCTCAGCCCTGGGTCTACAGCCTCAGTCCTGGGTCTACAGCCTCAGTCCTGGGTCTACAGCCTCAGTCCTGGGTCCACACAGCCTCAGTCCTGGGTCTACAGCCTCAGTCCTGGGTCTACAGCCTCAGTCCTGGATCTACAGCCTCAGTCCTGGGTCTACAGCCTCAGTCCTGGGTCTACAACCTCAGTCCTGGATCCACACAGCCTCAGTCCTGGGTCTACAGCCTCAGTCCTGGGTCCACACTTCCTCAGTCCTGGGTCTACAGTCTCAGTCCTGGGTCTACAGCCTCAGTCCTCGGTCTACAGCCTCAGTCCTCGGTCTACAGCCTCAGTCCTGGGTCCACACAGCCTCATTCCTGGGTCAACAGCCTCAGTCCTGGGTCTACAGCCTCATTCCTGGGTCGACACTTCCTCAGTCCTGGGTTTACAGCCTCAGTCCTTGGTCTACAACCTCAGTCCTGGATCCACACAGCCTCAGTCCTGGGTCTACAGCCTCAGTCCTGGGTCCACACAGCCTCAGTCCTGGGTCTACAGCCTCAGTCCTGGATCTACAGCCTCAGTCCTGGGTCTACAGCCTCAGTCCTGGGTCTACATTCATGGACCAATTCATATGTGTATATTTTGTGTTTTAACTGTTGATTCTCTGATCTGTGTTTGTGCTTTTAATGGTTTTGTTAAGTCTCTGAGATGATGCTGTCACTGTATTGTATTGTGAAATAAAAATATCTAATTTGAATTTGAACCAGCAGGGCGGCGATGGCGAGAGCTGTGGCGAGTGACAGCTCCATGATCCACCCCATCGTCTTCAGTCCTGAACCAGGGTCTGGGTCCAAGAGTCCGGGGTGAGTGGCCACAACATCATCTTCGTTAGACCCAGAAATATGTGAAAAAAACAGACTCTTATTCTCCAGCTCCTCACAGCAGCAGGAGAATGCTCTGGTTAGAATAATATGAAACATTCTGTCTTTAAACAATGGGACGAAGTAAAAGTGTTTCAAAAAGACACAGAAATGTTTCCTTTGAAGAAATAAACAGTTATTTAACAAGATAAGATAAACTTTAGTGACTTTATCGATCTCAGACTAAATGTCTTTGTGTCGTTGGAGAATCTGCTTTGTCTATTACAGATTTTATTTCCCCAGATTTGAACACTTTTATAATTCTTCTCCCTCTCTCTCTGTACAGACACATCAGCCCTCCCCCTCCCTCCCCCCTCTGCCCCCCCTCCCTCCCTCCCTCTCCCCCCTCTCCCCCCTCTCCCCCTCTGCCCACGCTGCTCTTGCATCAGTTTTGATCAATTTAAAATGAAACCGTTTAAAAAAAACATATTTTCACTTCTGAGAATCACACTTTAAGTTATATCTCTAACTCTCTCTAACTCATATAACTGTAAGTTAAAGATGTTAGAGATGTCAGAGATGTCAGATGTTAGAGCTGATCTTTATGATGTTAGAGATAATATCTACATATGTTAAAGTTATAACACATTTACGATCCACAGCTGGAGGCCTGATTCTGCTGACACTGATGATGGTTTCCAGAGAGGACCAGGACCAGGACCAGGACCGGGACCAGGACCAGGACCAGAACTGCTCATCTCCAGCTCTTTACAAAGTGAGACACTGAGAGTCACAGCTATAGTCTTATCTGTCTATACACAATACACACACACAAAACACACACACACACACACACACAGACACATACACAGACTCACACACACAGATACACACACACACACACACAGACACACACACACACAGACACATACACACACACACAGACACACACACACACACACACAGACACACACACACACACACACACAGACACATACACAGACTCACACACACAGACACACACACACACACACACACACAGACACACATACAGACACATACACACACTCACACACACACACACACACACAGACACACAGACACACACAGACACACACACACACAGACAGACACATACACACACTCACACACACACACACACACACAGACACACAGACACACACACACACACACACACACACAGACACACATACAGACACATACACACACTCACACACACACACACACACACAGACACACACACACACACACACACACACAGCAGAGGGTTGAACGAGGTTCTGAATGAAGGAAAGTGTTTTTCAGGTGAATATAAGAAGAGTTTGGAGCGTAAATGTGAGAGTGTGTGTGAAGGATCTGAGTCCGGGAGCAGGAGTGTCCTGAGCAGGATCTATACCGAGCTCTACATCACACACGCTCTTCGTGACGAGGCCTGTGCTCAACACGAAGAGACGCAGATGGAGACACTGTCCACGAGGACCTCCCAGGAGACCCCCATCCGCTGTCAGGACCTCTTCAAACCTCTGCCCCCGGAGCAGCAGGGGGCGGGACCCAGGACGGTGCTGACCTGTGGCGTGGCGGGGGTGGGGAAGACCTTCTCAGTCCTGAAGTTCTGCCTGGACTGGACTCAGGACCTGGAGAACCAGGACCTGCAGCTGCTGGTGCCGCTGTCCTTCAGAGAGCTGAACCTGACCAGAGGGGGGCGCTACAGTCTCCTGGAGCTCATACAGGTCTTCCACCCAGAGCTGAAGAAACAGGTCTCATCTCTTTCTCAGTTCTTCTACTTCAGACCACTGCAGACCACTTCAGACCACTGCAGACCACTGCAGACCACTTCAGACCAGCTCAGACCACTGCAGACCACTTCAGACCACTGCAGACCACTGCAGACCACTGCAGACCACTGCAGACCACTTCAGACCAGCTCAGACCACTGCAGACCACTTCAGACCACTGCAGACCACTGCAGACCACTGCAGACCACTGCAGACCACTTCAGACCAGCTCAGACCACTGCAGACCACTTCAGACCAGCTCAGACCACTGCAGACCACTGCAGACCACTTCAGACCAGCTCAGACCACTGCAGACCACTGCAGACCACTGCAGACCACTTCAGACCAGCTCAGACCACTGCAGACCACTGCAGACCACTGCAGACCACTGCAGACCACTGCAGACCACTGCAGACCACTGCAGACCACTTCAGACCAGCTCAGACCACTGCAGACCACTGCAGACCACTGCAGACCACTTCAGACCAGCTCAGACCACTGCAGACCACTGCAGACCACTGCAGACCACTGCAGACCACTTCAGACCAGCTCAGACCACTGCAGACCACTTCAGACCAGCTCAGACCACTGCAGACCACTGCAGACCACTGCAGACCACTTCAGACCAGCTCAGACCACTGCAGACCACTGCAGACCACTTCAGACCAGCTCAGACCACTGCAGACCACTGCAGACCACTTCAGACCAGTTTCTCTGACGTTGAATCCAAATCTATATTTAGTAATGATTCATTTTATTTAAAGACAATAGAATTAAAACATCTCACAAAAAATCCAAAATATGTAGAAACTATAATTAGACAAACAGTCACAAAGACAGATCCCTCAGTCCTCTGAAGCTCAGCAGGGCATGGCCTGGTTAGTGCTGTGATGGGAGACCTCTGGGAACAGCAGGTGCCACAGTGGGGCGGCTGCGGCTGCAAAGTGCCAAACTGTGGTTGTGTCCTTAGGCAAGACACTTCTCCCACATTAGAATGAGTCTGGGTTTATTTTTATTTATTTATTTATTCATTTATTTGACAGGGACAATGTAGTCATACATAGTTGCATTATGAAAATGCAGCTGATGCGACACATACAGAGTGTATAGCTAATGCTAATTTTCAACTCCTGTCCCTGGTTGAGCTTTTCCCTACAGTGCAACACATTATACAGAATGACTAAAATAGGCCTAGCCCTAAAACACATATTTACAACAGTGATCTAAAATTAAGACATTCCCCCAACCAATAACAGCCATATGGACAAAATATTCACAAACGAGAACATTCACACACACACTCACCTACACACACACTCACACACACACACAAACACAAAATACTGTTTACAGGTTTAGAAATGGGTGCATGATTGGTTTGTTTTCAGCCACAGCTTGAGCTTTGAGGACTCGGCTTTTGTGAATATATGCTACGTGTCTTAAGTTTATCTTGTCTGTTGTTGCTTATTCTCTTGGTGCCCACAGACCCTCTCCGCTCACACTCTGTCCGTCTCCAAAGTCCTCTTCGTCCTCGACGGACTCGATGAGAGCAGACTGTCTCTAGACTTCGCCTGTGAGCTCGTCTCTGAGGTCACGCAGAGCGCAGAGGTCGCTGTGCTGATTGTGAACCTCATCAAAGGCACGCTGCTTCCTTCTGCCCTCATATGGATCACCTGCCGACCCGCTGCAGCCAATCAGATCCCAGGGAAGTATGTCCATAGAGTCACGGAGGTGCGTGGCTTCATCACGGAGCGTCAGAAGGAGCAGTTCTTCAGGAAGAGGTTCCAGGACCGGGACCAGTGCGAGGCCGTTCTCTCGCACATCAGCAACACCCGCAGCCTCCACATCATGTGCCAGATCCCGGTCTTCTGCTGGATCACCGCCACGGTCCTGGACCACATGTTGAGAAGCAACGACAGCCGAGTCCTGCCCCAGACCCTCAGCGACATGTACGCCCACTTCCTGTTAGCGCAGACGAACAGGAAGAGGAAGTACACGCAGCAAAGCAGAGGTCCAGAGCTGAGCAGAGAAGACTGTGAGATGCTGCTGAAGCTCGGGAGACTGGCCTTTGAGCATCTCCGGACCGGAAACATCCTGTTCTACCAAGAAGATCTGGACCTGGTGGGTCTGGACTTGACCGAGGCCTCGCTTTACTCTGGGCTCTGCACAGAAATCTTCAAACGAGAGAGTGTCATCTTCAACAGGTCGGTCTACTGCTTCATCCACCTCAGCGTCCAGGAGTTTGTGGCCGCGGTTTACCTTCTCCAAAGCTTCAACTGCAAGAAAGAAAATGAACTTCTGGAGGTTCTGAAGTTCTTCAAACGAGGGTCGTGTCTGGAGGGTTTTCTGAGAGCAGCTCTGGAGGAGGCGCTGCAAAGTCCCAACGGTCACCTGGACCTGTTTGTGCGCTTCCTTCACGGCCTGACCATGGAGTCCAACCAGAGGATCCTGCGAGGTCTCCTGGGTCCGGCTCAGGTCACCGCAGAGACCAGGCAGAGGGTCATCTCTAACCTGAAGGACATGAAGAACCTGTCCTCACCCGACAGAAGCATCAACATCTTCCACTGTCTGACAGAGCTGAACGACCACAGCGTCAGTCGGCAGGTCCAGGACTTCCTGAAGTCCAAGGACAGTTCCCAGAAGCTGTCCGTGACCCAGTGCTCGGCTCTGGCCTATGTGCTGCAGATGTCGGAGGAGGTTCTGGAGGAACTAGTCCCCATTCAGTACAATACGTCTCCAGAAGGACGGCGCAGACTGGTGTCCGCTGTGAGGAACTGCAGACAGGCTCAGTAAGTCTCCGGAACTACAGTCTAATGGGAACTACAGTCTCACAGGAACTACAGTCTAATGAGAAACTACAGTCTCACAGGAACTACAGTCTCATATAAAGTACAGTCAGTCTCAGGAACTACAATCAGTCTCATATAAACTACAGTCAGTCTCATATGAACTACAGTCAGTCTCAAGTCAGCCTCATATGAACTACAGTCAGTCTCATATGAACTACAGTCAGTCTCATATGAACTACAGCCAGTCTCATATGAACTACAGCCAGTCTCATATGAACTACAGTCTGTCTCAGGAACTACAGTCAGTCTCAGGAACTACAGTCAGTCTCATGTGAACTACAGTCAGTCTCAGGAACTACAGTCAGTCTCATGTGAACTACAGTCAGTCTCAGGAACTACAGTCAGTCTCATATGAACTACAGTCAGTCTCATATGAACTACAGTCAGTCTCAGGAACTACAGTCGGTCTCATATGAACTACAGTCAGTCTCATATGAACTACAGCCAGTCTCATATGAACTACAGTCAGTCTCAAGTCAGTCTCATATGAACTACAGTCAGTCTCATGAACTACAGTCAGTCTCATATGAACTACAGTCAGTCTCATATGAACTACAGTCAGTCTCATATGAACTACAGGCAGTCTCATATGAACTACAGCCAGTCTCATATGAACTACAGTCAGTCTCAGGAACTACAGTCAGTCTCATATGAACTACAGTCAGTCTCAGGAACTACAGTCGGTCTCATATGAACTACAGTCAGTCTCATATGAACTACAGCCAGTCTCATATGAACTACAGTTAGTCTCAGGAACTACAGTCAGTCTCATATGAACTACAGTCAGTCTCATATGAACTGCAGCCAGTCTCATATGAACTACAGTCAGTCTCAGGAACTACAGTCAGTCTCATGAACTACAGTCAGTCTCATATGAACTATAGTCAGTCTCAGGAACTACAGTCAGTCGCATATGAACTACAGTCAGTCTCAGGAACTACAGTCAGTCTCATGAACTACAGTCAGTCTCATATGAACTACAGTCAGTCTCAAGTCAGTCTCATATGAACTACAGTCAGTCTCATGAACTACAGTCAGTCTCATATGAACTACAGTCAGTCTCAAGTCAGTCTCATATGAACTACAGTCAGTCTCATGAACTACAGTCAGTCTCATATGAACTACAGTCAGTCTCATATGAACTACAGTCAGTCTCATATGAACTACAGGCAGTCTCATATGAACTACAGCCAGTCTCATATGAACTACAGTCAGTCTCAGGAACTACAGTCAGTCTCATATGAACTACAGTCAGTCTCAGGAACTACAGTCAGTCTCATATGAACTACAGTCAGTCTCAGGAACTACAGTCAGTCTCATATGAACTACAGTCAGTCTCAGGAACTACAGCCAGTCTCATGTGAACTACAGTCAGTCTCATATGAACTACAGCCAGTCTCATGAACTACAGTCAGTCTCATATGAACTACAGTCAGTCTCAGGAACTACAGCCAGTCTCATATGAACTACAGTCAGTCTCAGGAACTACAGTCAGTCTCATGTGAACTACAGTCAGTCTCAAGAACTACAGTCAGTCTCATATGAACTACAGTCAGTCTCAGGAACTACAGTCAGTCTCATATGAACTACAGTCAGTCTCAGGAACTACAGCCAGTCTCATGTGAACTACAGTCAGTCTCAGGAACTACAGTCAGTCTCATGAACTACAGTCAGTCTCATGTGAACTACAGTCAGTCTCAGGAACTACAGTCAGTCTCATATGAACTACAGTCAGTCTCATATGAACTACAGTCAGTCTCATGAACTACAGTTAGTCTCATATGAACTACAGTCAGTCTCATATGAACTACAGTCAGTCTCATATGAACTACAGTCAGTAAAATCCATTTTTGCTTTATTCATTGGAGAATCTTGTTATACTCACTTTATTTACTAAATGCTAAACAGTTTGTTGAAAGGCTGAATGCTAACTTCTAAATGCTATAGGCTAAATGGTAAAGGCTCAATGCTAAAGGCTAAATGCTAACTTTGTATCACTCGTGTCTCTTCCTCAGACTCTCCAGTTGTGAATTGTCCCGGAGCCACCTGCAGGTGGTGCTGTCTGCTCTGAGGTCCAGTCCCTCCCACCTCAGACTCTTGGACCTAAGTTACAACAGCATCGTCCACTCAGAGATGTCGACGTTATGTGACGGGTTCCGGAGCCCCAACTGTCGCCTGGAGACTCTCAGGTCGGTCCAGTTCAGGGGGTGATGTCACACGTTCAGTCATGAGCAGGTGACAATAGAACCAGACCTCGGTCTGTACTGTAGACTCTGAAAACTAGTTTGTTCTTTGAGTCATTGACCGCTGTAGACATTACAACGGCTCGGTACCAATATGTAGGACACTAACAACAAAAATAATTAGTTTTATGGTTTTTTTAACAGATGTAATGTTAATGTAAACAGGGTTACGTTTAAGGCCTCAGCTCCTCATGGTCTTTGGTCTCTGCTCCTCATGGTCTCTGCTCCTTATGGTCTCTGGTCTCTACTCCTGATGGTCTCTGGTCTCTGCTCGTTATAGTCTCTGGTTTCTGTCCCCTGTGTGTTGAGGCTGAAGAGGTGTGGCCTGAGGGGGCAGAGCTGTGGGTCTCTGGGCTCGGCGCTGGAATCAAACCCGTCACATCTGAGAGAACTGGACCTGGGACGAAACATGGACCTGAAAGACTCAGTGTCTCATCTGAGCGGCTTCCTGCGGAGTCCACACTGTCGCCTGGAGATCCTCAGGTCAGAGCTCAGCAGGGCAGGGCCTGGTTAGTGCTGTGATGGGAGACCTCTGGGAACAGCAGGTGCCACAGTGGGGCGGCTGCAGCGGTAAAGTGCCAAACTGTGGTTGTGTCCTTAGTAGGGCTGTCAAACGATTAAAATGTTTTAGTTGATTAATCGCAGAGTAATGGTGAGTTAACTCACAATTAATCATATTTTTAACATTCTATTTCAAATCCACTCCAATTTAAGTTAAATGAGATTATCAAATGTAATGACACATTGTCATTTACACCAAATGTACTTCAATCTGTTTGATTTGCTCACAACCTTTTACTTTTGGCCACACCCAATATTAGCTGTTAATGAAAGGGGAAAACGTACGCAACCCAGCTTTAATTTAGCGAGTTTAGTTTAGTTTCGGGAGGAGACACGGACACTTCCGCAGTGTATTTGCGTGCACAGGTTACACAAAGACACGCACACAACATGCAGAGAATAGTTCTGTGGCATGTATGGTCTAACGTGTTGTTGTTAGTGGCTCAAAGCCACAGCCTACCTGCTCTGATGCCATCTCACACACGCATGTGTCCGCGGCTCTGAGTGATAATATGGATAACTGGGCGGGTCATTCGGACATGCGTTAATTTTTTTTGAACGCGTTAATGAAAAATTTAATTAACGTGAGTTAACGCGATAATTTTGACAGCCCTAGTCCTTAGGCAAGACACTTCCCCCACGTTAGAATGAGTCTGATGTGTGTGAATGGTTGGTGGTGATGGGAGGGGCTTCTGTCAGTGTGCCCCAGGGCAGCTGTGGCTACAGTAGTTTATCACCACCGTGTGAAGTGTCTTTGACTGTCTACTTTAAACCACAGCATGACTATATTGTGTGTCCTGTTGTGTGTCCAGGTTGTACAGGTGCAGGTTGTCCGCCCTCGGTTGTGGCTCTCTTTCCTCCGCTCTGCAGGAAAACCCTTCACACCTCAAAGAACTGGACCTTGGGGGGAACCCAGACCTCAGTGACTCGGGAGCGTCTCATCTGAGCGGGTTTCTGAGGAGTCCTCTCTGTCGCCTGCAGACCCTCAGGTGTGACACAGACCCTCAGGTGTGACGCAGACCCTCAGGTGTGACACAGACCCTCAGGTGTGACACAGACCCTCAGGTGTGACACAGACCCTCAGGTGTGACACAGACCCTCAGGTGTGACGCAGACCCTCAGGTGTGACGCAGACCCTCAGGTGTGACGCAGACCCTAAGTCACTATTTATATATATATATATATATATATATATATATATATATATATATATCAGTTTTATATTATATATATATATATATATTATATAATATATAATATATATAAGTTTTATATTATATTATATATAAATATGTTCTGGACGTGGACTTTGTGTCTTTATCTTTTCTTTTCTGACACAAAAACAGAAAGGGACCGAAGTCTTCCCTGAACCAGACTGAAGGGAAAGAGGAACACATTATGCAGTTAAAATATAAACATATATAAAGTATTTAAGACAAAAGAACAACTTCAGCAATTATTTATCATATTCATCAAAACTCTCTCCTTCAGGCTGAGCAGCTGCAGGTTGTCAGAGGTCGCCTGTTCCTCTCTGGCCTCAGCTCTGACCTTTAACCCCTCGCACCTCACTCACCTGGACCTGGGCGACAACACAAACATCCAGGACTCTGGGGTCTCTCACCTGTGCGGGTTTCTACAGCGTCCGGACTGTGGACTGAAGAGCCTCCGGTCAGACACACTCAGAGACACACACACACACACACACACACACACACAGAGATACACACATATATATATATATATATATATAGACGCACACACTATTGCACAATAGGTCTGAATGTAATGAGTGAATGGATGGTGTTTGGTCGGAGGCTTTGATGGTCCAGTGTGTGTTAGGTGTAAGAACTAGCGGACCCAAAAATGCAGAGTAGACAAAAGGTTTATTCACAAAAATCAAATTCAGGAGGAGCGTGGTTTAAAGGACACAGGACGGGACCAGGACAGGACCAAGACGGGACCAGGACAGAGGACAGAGGACCACTGAGATGAGGTAAGAGACTGACCGATGACGGGACTGAGAATGATGGTGCAGGCTCCACAGCTGGGTACTAAAAAAATGAAGAATAAAGCGAATCAGTACAAAAATAAACTTCAACACACTAGAAGTACCAGAACAAGGTGAAGGTTGATTCACCACTGGTGTGACGGAACGATCTGGCACTGGAGACAAGGGCAGGTTGGTTCTTGTGCTGCATCTGGTGATTGTTGGAATGATGATCAGGTGGAGCTCTGCAGGTGAGTGTGATGAACCCAGGAGGAGGGGGAGGGAGGAATCACAACAGTGTGTTCAGGTCTCGCTTCATCACCGTGTGGAGAGAATGGAACAATAACTGACTCTGAACATTGTAAAGTGCTTTGGGTCTGTACCTTGGTCTGTAAAATGTGCTATATAAATAAGCATTACTTACATACTTACTTACTTAAACATATATACACGTACCTAAATACAAAGACACACACATACACAGAAAAAGGTTGGGTACCCCAGCTTTAAGTAAGTACAAATCCCTTTGCTGCAGTGCCTATAGTTGAGTCCCTTTGCTGCGGTCCCTGTGGTTGAGTCCCTTTGCTGCGGTCCCTGTGGTTGAGTCCCTTTGCTGCGGTCCCTGTGGTTGAGTCCCTTTGCTGCGGTCCCTGTGGTTGAGTCCCTTTGCTGCGGTCCCTGTGGTTGAGTCCCTTTGCTGCGGTCCCTGTGGTTGAGTCCCTTTGCTGCGGTCCCTGTGGTTGAGTCCCTTTGCTGCGGTCCCTGTGGTTGAGTCCCTTTGCTGCGGTCCCTGTGGTTGAGTCCCTTTGCTGCGGTCCCTGTGGTTGAGTCCCTTTGCTGCGGTCCCTGTGGTTGAGTCCCTTTGCTGCAGTCCCTGTGGTTGAGTCCCTTTGCTGTGGTCCCTGTGCTTTCAGGCTGTACCAGTGTGGCCTGACAGGGTGCAGCTGTGTGGACCTGGCCTCGGCTCTGGAGTCTAACCCCTGTTACTTGAATGAGCTGAGCCTGGAGGGGAACGGGCTGAGGCTGCAGCAGGTGCAGCGACTGCAGCGACTGCAGCAGGAGCAGCGACTGCAGCGACTGTTGTGAGTTCCATTCTTTTGTTTGTTTGAAGTTCCATCAGACTTTAGTGTTAGACCAAGCCTGTTTTCATGTGTCCATGAGAGGCTTTTTACATTTGTTTTCCCAACCAAACCAAATCCTTCTGCACTAATATGAGCTACTTTGGGCAAAGTCACCAAAATCACTCTTTTTACTTTAACTAAACTAAATCTACTTTAACTAAATGCCTCAGACTTCTTCCTTAAACCAGGTAAAAGTCTGGTGTAATGTCAGACTTGTGCCACTAGATGGCGGTGTTTATCTGTCAGATCTTTACATCAGTAACACACATGTACCTCAGTAACACACATGTACCTCAGTAACACACACACATGTACCTCAGTAACACACACATGTACCTCAGTAACACACATGTACCTCAGTAACACACATGTACCTCAGTAACACACACACATGTACCTCAGTAACACACACACATGTACCTCAGTAACACACACACATGTACCTCAGTAACACACACACATGTACCTCAGTAACACACACATGTACCTCAGTAACACACATGTACCTCAGTAACACACATGTACCTCAGTAACACACACACATGTACCTCAGTAACACACACACATGTACCTCAGTAACACACACACATGTACCTCAGTAACACACACATGTACCTCAGTAACACACACATGTACCTCAGTAACACACATGTACCTCAGTAACACACACACATGTACCTCAGTAACACACACATGCACCTCAGTAACACACACATGTACCTCAGTAACACACACACATGTACCTCAGTAACACACACACATGTACCTCAGTAACACACACACATGTACCTCAGTAACACACATGTACCTCAGTAACACACATGTACCTCAGTAACACACATGTACCTCAGTAACACACACATGTACCTCAGTAACACACACATGTACCTCAGTAACACACATGTACCTCAGTAACACACACATGCACCTCAGTAACACACACATGTACCTCAGTAACACACACACATGTACCTCAGTAACACACACACATGTACCTCAGTAACACACACACATGTACCTCAGTAACACACATGTACCTCAGCAACACACATGTACCTCAGTAACACACATGTACCTCAGTAACACACATGTACCTCAGTAACACACACATGTACCTCAGTAACACACATGTACCTCAGTAACACACATGTACCTCAGTAACACACATGTACCTCAGTAACACACATGTACCTCAGTAACACACACACATGTACCTCAGTAACACACATGTACCTCAGTAACACACATGTACCTCAGTAACACACATGTACCTCAGTAACACACACATGTACCTCAGTAACACACATGTACCTCAGTAACACACACATGTACCTCAGTAACACACATGTACCTCAGTAACACACACATGTACCTCAGTAACACACACATGTACCTCAGTAACACACACATGTACCTCAGTAACACACACACATGTACCCCAGTAACACACACATGTACCTCAGTAACACACACATGTACCTCAGTAACACACACATGTACCTCAGTAACACACACATGTACCTCAGTAACACACACACATGTACCTCAGTAACACACACACATGTACCTCAGTAACATACATGTACCTCAGTAACACACATGTACCTCAGTAACACACACACATGTACCTCAGTAACATACATGTACCTCAGTAACACACATATACCTCAGTAACACACACATGTACCTCAGTAACACACACATGTACCTCAGTAACACACACACATGTACCTCAGTAACACACACATGTATCTCAGTAACACACATGTACCTCAGTAACACACACATGTACCTCAGTAACACAAACATGTACCTCAGTAACACACATGTACCTCAGTAACACACATGTACCTCAGTAACACACACACATGTATCTCAGCAACACACATGCACCTCAGTAACACACATGTACCTCAGTAACACACACATGTACCTCAGTAACACACATGTACCTCAGTAACACACATGTACCTCAGTAACACACACGTACCTCAGTAACACACACATGTACCTCAGTAACACACACACATGTACCTCAGTAACACACACGTACCTCAGTAACACACACGTACCTCAGTAACACACACATGTACCTCAGTAACACACACACATGTACCTCAGTAACACACACGTACCTCAGTAACACACACATGTACCTCAGTAACACACACATGTACCTCAGTAACACACATGTACCTCAGTAACACACATGTACCTCAGTAACACACATGTACCTCAGTAACACACATGTACCTCAGTAACACACACATGTACCTCAGTAACACACATGTACCTCAGTAACACACATGTACCTCAGTAACACACACATGTACCTCAGTAACACACACACATGTACCTCAGTAACACACACACATGTACCTCAGTAACACACACACATGTACCTCAGTAACACACACATGTACCTCAGTAACATACATGTACCTCAGTAACACACATGTACCTCAGTAACACACACACATGTACCTCAGTAACATACATGTACCTCAGTAACACACATATACCTCAGTAACACACACATGTACCTCAGTAACACACACATGTACCTCAGTAACACACACACATGTACCTCAGTAACACACACATGTATCTCAGTAACACACATGTACCTCAGTAACACACACATGTACCTCAGTAACACAAACATGTACCTCAGTAACACACATGTACCTCAGTAACACACATGTACCTCAGTAACACACACACATGTATCTCAGCAACACAGATGCACCTCAGTAACACACATGTACCTCAGTAACACACACATGTACCTCAGTAACACACATGTACCTCAGTAACACACATGTACCTCAGTAACACACACGTACCTCAGTAACACACACATGTACCTCAGTAACACACACACATGTACCTCAGTAACACACACGTACCTCAGTAACACACACGTACCTCAGTAACACACACATGTACCTCAGTAACACACACACATGTACCTCAGTAACACACACGTACCTCAGTAACACACACATGTACCTCAGTAACACACACATGTACCTCAGTAACACACATGTACCTCAGTAACACACATGTACCTCAGTAACACACATGTACCTCAGTAACACACATGTACCTCAGTAACACACACATGTACCTCAGTAACACACATGTACCTCAGTAACACACATGTACCTCAGTAACACACACATGTACCTCAGTAACACAAACATGTTCTTTAAGATGTGTGTGTTTTGTTCCAGTTGGTTCTGATCGACTCCAGAGACTTTCACAGAACTGAAGTCTAATAAAAGGTAATAGTAACTAAAGTAACTAAAGTACCATAAGTACCTTAAGTAACTGAAGTTACTAAATTAACTGAACAACTGAGCCTGGAAGTGGCCCGCGCTATAGGGTCTGCTCTACCCTACTCTACCCTACCCTACCCTACCCTACCCTACCCTACTCTACCCTACCCTACCCTACCCTACCCTACTCTACCCTACCCTACCCTACTCTACCCTACCCTACCCTACCCTACCCTACCCTACCCTACCCTACCCTACCCTACCCTACCCTACTCTACTCTACTCTACTCTACCCTACTCTACTCTACTCTACCCTACTCTACTCTACTCTACTCTACTCTACTCTACTCTACTCTACCCTACCCTACCCTACCCTACCCTACCCTACCCTACCCTACCCTACCCTACCCTACTCTACTCTACTACTACCCTACTCTACTCTACTCTACCCTACTCTACTCTACTCTACTCTACTCTACTCTACCCTACCCTACCCTACCCTACCCTACCCTACCCTACTCTACTCTACTCTACTCTACCCTACTCTACTCTACTCTACTCTACCCTACTCTACCCTACTCTACTCTACTCTACTCTACTCTACCCTACCCTACCCTACCCTACCCTACCCTACTCTACTCTACCCTACCCTACTCTACCCTACCCTACTCTACTCTACTCTACTCTACTCTTTAGCCCTGTATAATGTCTTGTACATGTTGTCTCCTTCTCCAGCCTGTTCCTGTTTCTCCGTAAACAGCAAATCCTGGTTTTGGTAAAAGACACAAGACTTTTTTTTATTTTTTATATAAATTATTGTGACTGAAATAGTGTGGTAATATTGTTATATTGTTAGTATATATACATACACACACACACACATACATATATTTATATATATATTTGCTGTATGTATGTATACATTTATTTGTTGTCATGTTGCACATGAAACAGTGACTGTCACTGCTGATATTTGAGCCTGAAGGTCGTGGGTTCGTTCCCATCATGAGACCTCCTCCACCGACTCCGACTGATGTCTGCTGTTGATATGTCCTTGGGCAAGACACTTAACCCACTTTGCCTGAAGCCCCCGCTGAAAGACCAAGGCTCCTGTGGACTCAGCCCCTGCAGGAGGATCAGTGAGGGGCTGGTGACATCATCAGATCTGTGACATCATCAGATCTGTGACATCATCAGATCTGTGACATCATCAGGTCTGTGACATCATCAGATCTGTGACATCATCAGATCTGTGACATCATCAGATCTCTGATTTACTTCCTGAATATTTCAATATATTTAAAACACTTTTTTTCTACAAACGTATCTGAAATATTTATGTAATAAAAGAAATCCAACTCAGTCCTTTTTCTTTTTGTCTTTAATCGGTTTTTACAGAAAAGTGAAAGAGAAAAGAGCGACTCACAGCAGTCACAGGTCAAAGATAAAGATAAAGAGGAGAGCAGCTCGTCAGGGTCTCGTTACTGTAGGTGACAGATATTTTAGACACAGACTTTAAAGTAGTACTAGAATTTAATATGCTGCTATCCAGAATATATAACTACAATATGTGTTTATAATATTTCGGGTGTTCATTTTGACATGTTTAGATGAATGATGTTAAAAAAAACAGCTTTGAAGTGGCACCTTTTAACAAACGCTAGGGGGAGCCAAAATGGCGGCGATGACGTAGGAGAATGACCTCTCACAGCAGCAGCAGAGTCTGGGCTGAATCTGTAGGAGGTTTCACTGTCATCTGAACAAGGTATAAACATATTTTCATCAGTTTTGTACATAATAGTGTGCAACTCTTTTAACCTTTTAGCCTTATTTGTGAGATTCAAGCAAACTAGTGTTGGGCAAGTTAGCCAACTCTACTTGATATCATTAAACATGCTAACAAGGCTAATATTCGTTTTTACATTATGCCAGTCTCACTTTGGTTGCCTTAGATTTATTTACCACAAATTCAAAAATGCTAATCAAAATAACTTGAATTAAATAAATATTTTACTTTTATGAACAAAAAGCTGCAGAAGTTGAAAACATAGACTACATGTGATGCAATCATTGATAAAAATGCTAATTAAACCGTTAATAGGTGTTAGCATTTATGGATATTACAATGTACATTGTGGTAAATAAATCTAAGGCAAAGTGAGACTGGCATAATGTAAAAACGAATATTAGCCTTGTTAGCATGTTTTATGATATCAAGTAGAGTTAGCTAACTTGCCCAACACTAATTAGCTTGAATCTCACAAATAAGGCTAAAATGTTAAAAGAGTTGCGCACTATTATGTACAAACGGATGAAAATATGTTTATACCTTGTTCAGATGACAGTGAAACCTCCTACAGATTCAGCCCAGACTCTGCTGCTGCTGTGAGAGGGCCTTCTCCTACGTCATCACCGCCATTTTGGCGCCCCCTAGCGATTCTATGCGGAAGTGAAAAGGTGCCACTTCAGAGCAGTTTTTTTAACATAATTCATCTGAACATGTCAAAATGAACACCCGAAATATTATAAACACATATTGTAGTTATATATTCTGGATAGTAAATTCTAGTACTACTTTAAATAAGCGACACAACCTCTGACCACAAGGGGGCGCAGTGCTGCCGTTATATTATAATCATGCCTGGTTCCTCTGAGGGGAAGAATGTCATAAGAAAAGCCTCAAGAGGGAAGACGTCAGGTTGACTCCCAGAGCAGTCAATTTGACAGGTTTTAGTTTTGGATGTTTTTATTATTGTAATCTTTTCCACCAGAGAGGCGCTAGTGCTAGTTGCCATGACAACACGCTGTTAGCCGTTAGCATTAGCATTCAGTAGCTTCTCCACAAACTGTATTTTGCTGTATTTCAAGTGTATTCACCTTTTTAACATTTGTTTTAATTATCAATGGCAGCAGTCAGAATGACGGCTTCTTAGAGGTAGGAGTGTGTCTGTGTGTGTGTGTGTGTGTGTGTGTCTGTGTGTCTGTCTATGTCTGTGTGTGTGTGTCTGTGTGTGTCTGTGTGTCTGTCTATGTCTGTGTGTGTGTGTGTGTGTGTCTGTGTGTGTGTGTGTCTGTGTGTCTGTGTGTGTGTGTGTGTGTGTGTCTGTGTGTCTGTCTATGTCTGTGTGTGTGTGTCTGTGTGTGTCTGTGTGTCTGTCTATGTCTGTGTGTGTGTGTGTGTGTGTCTGTGTGTGTCTGTGTGTGTGTGTGTCTGTGTGTCTGTGTGTGTCTGTGTGTGTGTGTGTGTGTGTGTCTGTGTGTGTGTGTGTCTGTGTGTCTGTGTGTGTCTGTGTGTGTGTGTCTGTGTGTCTGTCTATGTCTGTGTGTGTGTGTGTGTGTCTGTGTGTGTGTGTGTGTGTGTGTCTGTGTGTCTGTGTGTGTCTGTGTGTGTGTGTCTGTGTGTCTGTGTGTGTGTCTGTGTGTGTGTGTGAAAGAGTGAACGAGGACAAACATGTTTAAACATGTTCAGATTCACTGTATTTCTGCACCATGCGGCGCACATAAAAGCCTTTCATTTCAGCAGTGTGCTTTATAATCCACTGCAACTTACAGCACAAAAATATCCTCTACTCAATTCCTCCGGCATTTTCTAGATTCATGTGGAAGTTTCTCGATTTGCTACATCATCACGTGCTGCACTGGGATTGGTGCACCTCTGTGCGCTTGGTGAGCATAAAAAGCCACGATGTGAGCCCCTCGCACCAAAGGACAAGAAAAGGAGAGGAGAGCACTTCACACCAAAGGACAAGAATCAGGTAAATGAAATCATAGCTTGGCGAGTGATCCTTAACCCTCTATGCACATGGTTCATTTTGGGGAACTTTCCTCGCCTGGTTTTCTTTGTGTATAATTGTTCATAAAACAGTCATCTTTTGATGCAGAGTCAAGCAGTATACTTTGTTTTTTTTCAGTACAACCTGGGGTTTTAGAATATTCATATTGTAAAGCTGTCATATGAATTATATAAAAATTGTGGAATCATGAAGACAAAGAAAAAAATCAAACGGAAAATCAATTTAACAAAAATGTATTGAAAAAACACAATGAAATGCTATAAACAACTTTTCACACTGCATAGAAATGTTATTTATGGTCTTGGGGATAATGGGGAAAAAAATTGAATCTCTAACTATTATACTTTTTACAAAATTCCTATATAAGCAATAAAAGCTATAAAAGCAAAAAACTCTGTACTCCTGATGCCCTTCCTGAAGCAGTTTGTCTATAATGCTGGGGTTGCTTCTGTAGCACAGCTGTAAAAAACGTAAAACATAAGAAACTGAGCCAAAAAAAAAAAAAAACATCAATTATTTATATAATACATATATTTATATACATCATATACACATAATGTAATTTTACTGTATTTATTATCGTCTTTATCAATAATGCGCACTCTTCAGCTGGTTATTGCAATCGCAGCTGTAGTTTCAACTGTGGGACAACAAGTAAACGCAGAGGAGTGAGACATCTCACTCTCTGACGATCTTTGGCAGTCCCCGTGTGTTTGTATCTCACAGCTGTTTGTACCTCACGGGTCACGCTTTGGACACGGACATTCAGACAAACGTAGTTTATCCTACGTGCATCGCACAGACAAATCAAAACTAGTTTCGGAAAGCCCTGAATACGTACTTCACAGAGGAAAAGAAAGTAAGTTGGTTACGGTTCGCGAGTAAATTGATCATTTGTAAAACATGTGCGCGTGCATCGGTGCCGATGCACGCGGGCATATAGAGTCACAGATACACCTTGTGTGACTCGATGAATGTTACATAGTGTTAACTCGTACTGGTATGTTGTAAAACCAATCGTCATTTAAAATCTTTTGTCCCAACGGCTGTTAGACTGCTGCTTATTCGAGCACAGACGTGTCCTCAGACCGCTCCTGCTTCTGACTGCTTGCTACTGTTTGTCGCATGGCGCCGTAAACATGGCGCCGTGGCAAGAGCTCTGGTGTGTGTCGTCTTCTCTGTCTAAGGCACACTGGGGTGGTCTTGCACAGTTTTTCCAATGTGGTTTTACTGCAAATGGCAAATAAATGAATCTGAATCTGAATCTGTAATCTCTGTAGCCTGGTGGCTATGCCGCACACAAGATGGGCAGATCATCAAACCAGCAGTCCTGTCTATTGTTAAAGAGTACTCAGCATCTTATGTTCCAAAGGCTGTCATGCTGGATCTACCAGAACCCCTCACCAACCTGTATAAGAAGCAGGCAAGAGACCTCAACCTGGCAGAGTTACAAGATCGAGCGGAAGCACTATTTGAAGACATAACTGTAACCAAAGAACAGGTATAGAACATTGTATTTTGTTTAAAATAACAGGAGCTAATAACCAAAATCTAAAATCTAAAATGTACTGCATGTATACCGTATATGCCAACTTAAAATGTTCTGTCTAACAGTTTGAATCGTCTTGTTTTCAGAGTGATATTGTAGAGGAGAAGACCCGAGCTCAGTCCAAGTCCAAAATCTGGTTTGAGCAAAGAAGTGGTAGGGTAACAGGATCTACCTTCAGAGCAGCCACAAAGACGGACGTCAGAAAGCCTGCAGTGTCTCTGATAAGACAGATATGCTACCCAAAGTCCCATAGTTTCACCAGTGAGGCTACCAGGTATTCATGAGCATAGAAGGGTTACCAATGTGGGGTGGCATTACTATTGTCCAAAACTAATGTTATTTTTGTTTCTTCAGATGGGGATGTCAGCATGAGGAATCGGCAAGAAAATACTATGAAATTCAGCATCGCCGCTCACACACAGATGTCATAGTCATAGGATCAGCTGGATTCAGGATTTCACCCCTGCACCCATTTATTGGGGCCTCACCTGATGGATATGTTTCCTGCAGCTGCTGTGGTTCCGGTGTGATAGAAATTAAGTGCCCATTTTCTGTAAAGGACCTTTCTGTTAATGAGGCAGCAAATTCTGGTGCACACTTTTGCCTTGAGAAGGATGCGCAAGGAAAAATTAGACTGAAGCGGGACCATGCATACTACTATCAAGTGCAGATGCAGCTATTTGTTACTGAGAAACCATATTGTGATTTCATTCTGTGGACTGAAAGGGAAAGTACTTCACCTTTTGTTGAACGTGTCAAACCTGATGTTGCATTCTTTGACAAAGAATTGGAACGTGCTCGTGACTTCTTTAAAAAATGTATAATTCCAGAGCTGCTAGCCAAGTATTTTTCTGCACCAAAACCAGCAGCAGCATTTGCTGATCATAGTCAACAACAGTGGTGCAACTGCCGTGAGCCAGAAGCAGGGAATATGTTGGTCTGTGCATCAGGTTTTTGTTCAGTTAAAAAGTTTCACCAAACCTGCCTTCGCATAAAGAGGGTCCCAAAACAGTGGTTATGTCCCAGCTGCCGAAAAGTAATAAATGCGCAAAAAAGAAAGAAAGAAAACATCTTAGTGAGTGGACTGTGAAATGAGATGCAGCCAGCGAAAATTCAATTTGGTAGACGTTAACCAAAATTACCCCCTCCAGGCCGGCTCGCATCCCCAGCCTATCGCTCAGCAGACGCCCCCTTCCAATCATCTGTACCGACTCGCCAGCCGCTTAAAAGCGGAGAAACTCCCACTCTCTGCCTTCTCGAAGCCTTGCAACCACCGCCTCCCCTCCTCCTCCTCTTCACCCTGCCTCCAATCTGCCTTCAATCTGCTTCCTGCTGCCAAATGCCGCCACCAGTGCCTAGGTCCCGGGGGATTGTGCGCGCTCCATCGCAGGAGCCTTTCCGATCTGAAGGCCGCACCGGGACCTAGGGCGCCAAACCTCCTTTCAATAAAATACTCAAAACTTCCTGTTTTCTCGTCTCTCCAAATTGAATTAATAGTTGTAGCTGATACTGTATATTATTTATGAATAAACAGTTGTTAAACCAATAATCTCTTCCCCATCATTACTAATGAGTATCTGTAGCAATCAGGAATATGAAACATGGGTACGTCATTCATATCAAACACACAAGAACAAATATCTGTGATCAAAATGATTTAAAGTAATGTCACAACAAGCAAGAAGTGAGTCACAAAGGTTTATTTGCTGGTTGAGCACATCTGTAGCCAGTCACATCAGTTCAATTTACTGTACATCCCTATCACTGGAAGGGCACCACAGATTCAGACACATTTGTAAGTGCACAACATACGCTCACAATCTTGTCAAGGTAGGTCACATCATTGTCTCTGTCTATGTCCGTGAAACTTATGGGGACAGTGCTTTGCAAGACTATTTTTGACGGAGAACTCCTATTACTCTTTCAATATGTATCCTAAGAGAGGCTAGACATCTGGTGTTCTCCAAGTCAACAGGATCTATCTGCTTCTTTCCACGGGTGAATGCTGGAATCTTTAATTCAGCTTGGCATTTCTGAATGGACTCTTTAACCAGGAAACCTCGGTCCGCTAAAACTACGTCCCCTGGGAGCAAATTAGATAAAAAGTTACTTTGTTCTGTGATGAACTTATCACTTGTCCGACCTCCCCATCCAGTGAAAATGAAACAAATGGAACCTTGAGGGCAAATTGCAATTAAATATTTCATTGTGTGGTGTGATTTGTAAGATGAGTAGCACTGAGCACTGGCTAGCAATCTACTGGGTTTCTCGTGAAATATTTCAAAACAATCTATAATGCAAACTGTCTTTTCAAAGCTACTGTTTCGAAATGCATATGGAAGAGATGTTCTTAAGTATTCTCTGTCGGGCCACAACACTAGACTTGGCACCAGTCTACAATGCATCACACTAATACAGTGTTTGAAGAGCTTTGAAACAGTGGTTGAGTCAATGCCAAAATAAAAAGCCACAAATTCTAAGGACAAGTTCATTCTAAGCTTCATTAAAGTTAACATGTACTGCTGAAAACATGTTAAACCAGATTTAAGTTTGAGAAAAGGAGCCACAATATGAAAGATTGTCATGAGAATTGAATATGTTGATAAACCAGTAAGAGAATTAAGTTATGCAAGATCATCTCATTCAGTGTAGTCCTATTCATTTTTTCCTTCAACAACATATTTTCAGTCCTCAGAGCTTGGCATTCTTGTTCAAGAGATTGGACGCTTTTACCACAGGTTTCAGTGCTGCATGTTGGAGTTACTGGATCATCGTCATGGAGAACAGGCTGGACATCATTTCCAGGTTCTTCATGGGTAGATTCCATCAAAGGGTCTGTGGTGGGAGTTTGGTCTGCAGTAGGATCCTTGTTGCCGTCTTGGGGACAATCTGTGGCTGAGTGGATAGCACTTGCCTCTCAGCAAGAAGGTCCTGGGTTCGAATCCCGGTCAGACCAGGGCCTTTCTGAGTGGAGTTTGCATGTTCTCCCTGTGTCTGCGTAGGTTTCCTCCGGGTGCTCCGGTTTCCCCTACCACTAAAAATATGTCCAATAGGTCTGGCATGCGCCTCCTGTACTGGCCCCTCCCATCTCTGTGTGGAGTGAGAGACAAATGCCCAAAATTAACAATTGTAAACCGCTTTGAGACTCAGATCTGCAGTGAAAAGGCGGTATATAAATAAAGATTACTTACTTACTTACTTACTGTTGATTCTCTGGTGAAAACACAAAAGTAGTATATTAAGAGTATATGTATACACTACTGATGACAGTTTGTCATTTTTTTGTCAATCACTCTCAATCTCTCGCAGTATATAGTAGCTTTCATGAGTAAGCAAGTACATTTTATTTGTAAAGCACATTTACATCCAAAGTTGTTTATAGTTAGTATATAATAAAAATAAAATACATAAATAAAACAATGTAATAAAATAAATAGAAAGACAATGACAGGGACAATGACAGTGACAATCACATGCATAGTCAGTGGCTACCAAATTCAAGAGGTGTGTGATGATTTCAAACCAGCCACAGATGCTCTGGGTTTTAACTCATTGGGTGTTATTAAACCTACCATGAATTGTGTGCAAACTTTTTGATTTATAATTTTAACAAAAAGTGCGGTTGAACAGGTTAATATATCTTTAATATATGCACCTGGGAGGGATGGCCTTCGCAGATAGCTTTGTCTGCTCCATCTTCTGTAGCTTTGCTTTCTGTCGTCTGTTGAAAACCTCCAGTCTCATTTTTCTTTTCCTCTTCTCTGGAGATGGAACGTAGTTGAAAATAGTTGGAACGAAGTCCGGACTCAAGGGATTATCACTCTTTCCATCCATCCATCCATCCATCCATTTTCTACCCTTTAATCCATTTCTGGGTCAGGGGGGTGGCAGTCAGAGATGCCACCCAAGTCTCATAGCACCAGCCCCTCACTGACCCTCTGCAGGTGGTGAGTCCACAGGAGGACGGCTGCTCTCTGAGTGTGAGCATAGCCTTGATCTTTCAGTGGGGGCTTTGGGCAAAGTGGGGTTAAGTGTCTTGCCCAAGGACACAACGAAAGCAGTCATCAGTGGGAGTCGGTGGAGAAGGTGTAGAGGTGGGAATTGAACCCACGACCTTCAGGCCTGAAGGCCAATGCTCTACCAACTGAGCTACATTTCAGTATCGAACTGGGTTGTGTTTACTACGTTAGCACTTACTAGCTTACAAAACATGACATTGTTAGCCCCACAAATTGCATGCTATAATTCGACTAGCCATGTAGTATTAAACTGATCAGAAACCACAATTAGAGCCATTCAATAATTAAGATAGTAATGGTAGTAAGTTTTGAAGTGATCGCTGCACAAGCGGAATCCAACGGCTGGGGGGGTCCCATCTTTCAGTCTTGTTTTGCGTGCTCCTGGATCTTTTAATGGCGCTGATCCACTTCGCTCGCCTCACCGCATCTTTAGGAATGCGGTAAAACGACGTAACTTCCTTGTGTTTGACAGAATGTACAGTTTTTACAAGCCCCGGCGATCCAAGATGGCGCCCTATTCAAATGAATGGTTGTGCTCAGTGGCGCTTTGTGACGGCATGGGGGCTGAAAAGATCAGCGGAAGTCGCCTGAAACTCTCAAAGATCTATGGGAAACTCTCAAAGATCTGTGAGCAGTGACGTAATATTGACAGTTTGCTCACTGCTGAAATTTATTTCTCAAAAAACGAAATCACACATACAGTTTTATATTTTTTTATTCTTAATTACGATATTCCATGTATTTTTAGTTTGTATTATCTTAATCGTGAATTAATTAAAAAAAAAAAAAAAAAAGCACAAATACCAATAAATATGCACGCATTTTTTTTGGACATGCACGTCTTTATTGACAGTAACCTTACCCCATAGTCTTAATCTGAAAGTAGATCACAAACACGTTCTTTAATTTTATTTTTCAGAAAAAGATGTCTGTAAATCAGGCCGTGGGCATCAACCTGGTCACCAATTACTCCTGTGTCGGGGTATTTCATCAGGATAAAGTTGAAATCATCGACCGGCTGCTTGGACGCAGATTTGAAGACACCACAGTGCAGGCTGGCATGAAGGACTGGCCGTTTAAAGTGGTGAAAGATGAAGGAAAACCAAAAATCAGAGTGGAGTACAAAGGAGAAGGCAAGAGCTTCAGCCCACAAGAGATCTTTTGCATGGTTCTGATGAAGATGAAGAAAGGGGCCGAGGACTATCTTGCACACAGCGTGTCCAACGCCGTCATCGCGGTCCCTGTCTACTTCAATGACTCTCAGACACAAGCCACCAAAGACGCTGCTGAGATGGCCGGTCTCAACGTTCTGAGAATCATCAACGAGCCCACGGCGGCTGCTGTGGCCTATGGCCTGGACAAAGGCCCCTCAGGAGAACGAAACATCCTTGTCTGTGACATGGGAAGCAGCACCTTCAACGTGTCGATTCTGACCCTCAGAAACGGCCTCTTTGAGGTGAAGGCCACAACTGAAGACACCCACTTGGGAGGAGAGGACTTCAACAGCTGCATGGTCAAGCACTTTGTAAAAGAGATCAAGCGAAAACACAGGACAGATATCAGCCTAAACAAGAGAGCCCTGAAGAAGCTGCATAAAGCATGTGAGACGGTCAAGAGGACCCTGTCCTTCAGCTGCCAAGCCAGCATCGAGATCGACTCTCTGTTTGGGGAACCAGACTTCTGCACCTCCATCTCCAGAGCATGCTTTGAGGAGCTGTGCTCAGACCTGTTCAGGGGAACATTGGAGTCTGTGGAGAAGGCCCTAAGAGACGCCAAGATAGACAAAGAAAGTATTGATGATGTGGTCCTGGTCGGTGGCTCCACCAAGATCTTTAGAGTCCAGAAACTTCTGCAGGACTTCTTCAACGGCCTCAAGCTGAACAAGAGTATCGACCCGGTTGAGGTGGTGGCATATGGGGCGGCTGTAATGGCCACTAGTCTAACTGGGGGCACCTCCAAGAAGGTCCAGGACCTGCTGATCAAAGAGGTGCAGACCATCATCACCAACCCTACAACAAAGAACGAAAAGATTGTATCAACCGATATTGATTAACAGTAGTTAATGATAAATGTTTTTTTAATGTAAATTATAATTATATTTAGGACTATATTTAAGGCTATATTTATACTTTTATTTATATTAAAAATAAATCAAATTCTGTCTTTTCTCTTTTTGTCTTTAATCAGTTTTTACAGAAAATTGAAACAGAAAAGAGCGACGAGCCCAAAGAGTCAGTGACTCTGACTGTCAAAGATAAAGAGTGAGATGAAAGCAGCTCGTTGTGGTTTCGTTTGGTGATAAATACTTTATTGATCCCCGTAGGAGAAATTCAGGTGTCCAGTAGCAGAAAAAATACAAATGGATCATTCCAAAAAGATAACAATAGTAATAATCAGCAACAGCCCTTCAGGTCACAGCAGCAGAGGTGGAGTAGCCTCTGGGTGGAGCAGGACGGGTCACAGCAGCAGAGGTGGAGTAGCCTCTGGGTGGAGCAGGACAGGTCACAGCAGCAGAGGTGGAGTAGCCTCTGGGTGGAGCAGGACAGGTCACAGCAGCAGAGGTGGAGTAGCCTCTGGGTGGAGCAGGACAGGTCACAGAAGCAGAGGTGGAGTAGCCTCTGGGTGGAGCAGGACAGGTCACAGCAGCAGAGGTGGTGTAGCCGCTGGGTGGAGCAGGACGGGTCACAGCAGCAGAGGTGGAGTAGCCTCTGGGTGGAGCAGGACAGGTCACAGCAGCAGAGGTGGAGTAGCCTCTGGGTGGAGCAGGACAGGTCACAGCAGCAGAGGTGGAGTAGCCTCTGGGTGGAGCAGGACAGGTCACAGCAGCAGAGGTGCAGTAGCCGCTTGGTTCGGACCATTTTCTCTGCTCTAGTCCTAATGAAGGTAAATGCTTCATTAGCATTTTACATAAAGTTAGCACCTGATCCACTTGGTTCGGACCATGAATTCTCTCTGCTCTGGTCTGGACCAGTATAAAACCATAAACACTGTACTGCAGAAACATCTCAGGAATAAAAAAGCAGGAAAAAAAAATGTAAAGCACAAAACAACTGTTTCAGAGACACTTAGGACCTGCTGCTGTTTTCCAGCGCATTCAAAAGTAAAACTTACATGTTTTAGAAACAGACTTTACTGATCCCTGTAGTATTTATTTATTTTTTCTTAATGTTTTAATTTCGTTTTATTCTTATTGTAAAAAGGTCTAAACATGTGACCTCAGAAATAAGCGTCTGACCACAGCCTACTACAACCTCTGACTACAACCTCTGACCACAAGGGGGCGCAGTGCTGCCGTTATATTATAATCGTGCCTGGTTCCTCTGAGGGGAAGAATGTCATAAGAAAAGCCAGAAGAGGGAAGACGTCAGGTTGACTCCCAGAGCAGCAGTGGCGGAGCCAGAGGGGTAGCCAGGGTGGCCACTGCCACCTCTAAAAATATCCTTGCCACCCCCAGTGCCCCCCTCGGAAGACGGCAATGTAATAATGTTAATCTTGAGAATCTTCCGCACTTTTTCCGCCAAAAGATAAAAATTCCCACGGTTTCCCCCGTCTGTGAACGCACCCTGACTCCGTGTGGAGCCGGTGCTGTATGATAATGTTTTGGGTTGTTGGACTCAGGTGTGTCCAAGTCGTGATGAAAACAAAGGGGTAAGTTAGCGACGCAGAGCCGTTTACATTTGACACAAAGTATAGACACACGTACTGCAGCGCATTACTTGTTCAGTTTGTAGAACTTTTAGTGTGTGTATGTGTGTGTGCCTGTGTGTGCCAGTGTGGGTCTGCGTGCCTGTGCGCGTGTGTGCGTGCCAGTGTGTGTGTGCGTGTGTGTGCGTGCGAGCGTTTTTTCACACACAAAAAAAGAAAAAAAAATAGCTAAGATTATGGATGATGTGCAGTCGCTTGACCCCAAAACATTTTTGAAAGAAGAGCCCCTGTTTTCATTTGGCAGAACCTTTGAGTCAGATATAGAGGACCTTAAGCATGAGGTCAAACTAGGCGGCTTCTTGTGAGGAAAAAATGGATTAGAGAGTCCCTATTGGACTTCCTTGTCCTTTTGGAACGTTTGGAAAGTGTTTCATGAGCTTTTGAGGCTTGCAAAGATCTTTTTAATACCTGTCAGTACTGCGTCTTGTGAAATAAGTTTCTCTGCCCTAAAACTTATTAAAAACCATCTCAGAACGACCATGGCAGATGATTGAGTCCTCTTGGTATCCTCAGTGTAGAGTCAAGGAGGGCTCAGGGCTCAATATGGATGAGTTTGTCAACATCTTTGCTGCTTTACACCAGAACCGTAGGAATTTGCTAAATTTGTTAAAAGAAAAATGTAATGCAATGTTTGAATGATGTTATTTTGCACTTTTTTGTTCAGACTACTATTTAAATACACTTTTTTGCTTTGTAGTTTCCAAGTGTGCTCTCAGTTCACTTTATATTAAAAATTATGACAAGATTAAGATTAAAATGTATCGTTTAGCCAGTTTTTGTGTGAAATAAAATTTCGGAATAGTATAATGTGGACCCCTCAAAAAAACCCTTGCCCACCCCCTGGCCACCCTCTGTTTAAAAGTCTGTCTCTGTGTGTGTGTGTCTATGTGTGTCTGTGTGTGTGTGTCTATGTGTGTGCTGCCAAACATTGTGTACGTGTTGCTTTTGTCCCAGCCCGACAAAGTGTCATAACTCAAATTTGTGGTTAAATTCAAATCAATGTTGTTTGATCCTGTGTCTCTCACTGCGGTCCTGTCTGTGCGCTGCAACAATGACATGTGCCCTGGCCCCTCCCTCCTGCTCTGACCCCTCCCCCCTGGCCCCTCCCTCCTGCTCTGTGCCCTGGCCCCTCCCTCCTGCCCTGTGCCCTGGCCCCTCCCTCCTGCTCTGACCCCTCCCCCCTGGCCCCTCCCTCCTGCTCTGTGCCCTGGCCCCTCCCTCCTGCTCTGACCCCTCCCCCCTGGCCCCTCCCTCCTGCTCTGACCCCTCCCCCCTAGCCCCTCCCTCCTGCTCTGACCCCTCCCCCCTGGCCCCTCCCTCCTGCTCTGACCCCTCCCCCCTGGCCCATCCCTCCTGCCCTGTGCCCTGGCCCCTCCCTCCTGCTCTGTGCCCTGGCCCCTCCCTCCTGCTCTGTGCTCTGTGCCCTGGCCCCTCCCTCCTGCCCTGTGCCCTGGCCCCTCCCTCCTGCCCTGTGCCCTGGCCCCTCCCTCCTGCTCTGACCCCTCCCCCCTGGCTCCTCCCTCCTGGCAGAGGGTGCAGTTCGCTGCAGCCTTCTCTCTGGGCACAGATCCACCTGCTCACTCCGGCTCCTGAGCTCAAGATCCTATGTGGCCCCTGGTCCCTGGCCCCTAGCCCCTGGTCCCTGGCTCCTGACCCCTGGCTCCTGACCCCTGGCCCCTGGTCCTTAGCTCCTGACCCCTGGCCCCTGGCTCCTGACCCCTGGTCCCTGGCTCCTGGTCCCTGGCTCCTGACCCCTGACCCCTGGCCCCTGGCCCCTCACAGACTATGAGGGCCAGGCTCTCCTCCTTCACTGTTGGATGTTTAATGATTTGTGTTTGTTTCTGGACCGTCGCATGGATCCAGTCTGAGAGAGAGGACCACGGTGAGTACTTTAAAGATACTATCTCTAACTTTACATTAGAGTTTAGAGGGTCCTGTTGGAGGATCATTGTTTGCACCATGAGTCAAAGTTACTTCCTGGTTGTTCTCGCTTCAGCTTGAGGCCAACGACAGTTCTCTAAGACCATGTTAATCCACAGATGTTTATGTGAAAAGACCAGGTGTTAATCCACAGATGTTTATGTGAAAAGACCAGGTGTTAATCCACAGATGTTTATGTGAAAAGACCAGGTGTTAATCCACAGATGTTTATGTGAAAAGACCAGGTGTTAATCCACAGATGTTTATGTGAAAAGACCAGGTGTTAATCCACAGATGTTTATGTGAAAAGACCAGGTGTTAATCCACAGATGTTTATGTGAAAAGACCAGGTGTTAATCCACAGATGTTTATGTGAAAAGACCAGGTGTTAATCCACAGATGTTTATGTGAAAAGACCAGGTGTTAATCCACAGATGTTTATGTGAAAAGACCAGGTGTTAATCCACAGATGTTTATTTGAAAAGACCAGGTGTTAATCCACAGATGTTTATGTGAAAAGACCAGGTGTTAATCCACAGATGTTTATGTGAAAAGACCAGGTGTTAATCCACAGATGTTTATGCGAAAAGACCAGGTGTTAATCCACAGATGTTTTGTGAAAAGACCAGGTGTTAATCCACAGATGTTTATGCGAAAAGACCAGGTGTTAATCCACAGATGTTTATGTGAAAAGACCAGGTGTTAATCCACAGATGTTTATGTGAAAAGACCAGGTGTTAATCCACAGATGTTTATGTGAAAAGACCAGGTGTTAATCCACATATGTTTTTGTGAAAAGACCAGGTGTTAATCCACAGATGTTTATGTGAAAAGACCAGGTGTTAATCCACAGATGTTTATGTGAAAAGACCAGGTGTTAATCCACAGATGTTTATGTGAAAAGACCAGGTGTTAATCCACAGATGTTTATGTGAAAAAACCAGGTGTTAATCCACAGATGTTTTTGTGAAAAGACCAGGTGTTAATCCACAGATGTTTATGTGAAAAGACCAGGTGTTAATCCACAGATGTTTATGTGAAAAGACCAGGTGTTAATCCACAGATGTTTATGTGAAAAGACCAGGTGTTAATCCACAGATGTTTTTTGTGAAAAGACCAGGTGTTAATCCACAGATGTTTATGTGAAAAGACCAGGTGTTAATCCACAGATGTTTATGTGAAAAGACCAGGTGTTAATCCACAGATGTTTTTGTGAAAAGACCAGGTGTTAATCCACAGATGTTTATGTGAAAAGACCAGGTGTTAATCCACAGATGTTTATGTGAAAAGACCAGGTGTTAATCCACAGATGTTTATGTGAAAAGAGGCTGTGATGGTCTTTCTTCTTCAGGCTCTGAGATCACACTGCCGGACCTGCTCAGTCTGAACCAGCGCCTCCTGGTGGCCAAGGAGCTGGGGGACCATGTCAGCAAGGACCTCCACATGGTCCTGGAGCAGATCAAGAACTTCTCACAAGCAGCGAATCACACTGTGACCAACACAGCTGGTCCCACAGGTGCACATGGTAAAGCTAGCATCAGCTAGCATGCTATTTAACTTATATTACAATGTCCTTTTCATTGGAGCCTTCAAACCCACCTGGACCAGAGGACAAGGACCCATCGCCAGATGGTCAGGACTATCGGAGCACCCGGAGGAAACCCACTCAGGCACAGTTCCAATCAGGATTCAAACCCAGGACCTTCTTGCTGAGAAACTAGAGTGCTAACCACTCAGCCACTATGCTGCCTCTTACCAGAGACCTGAGGACCAGAGACCTGAGGACCAGAGACCTGAGGACCAGAGACCTGAGGACCAGAGACCTGAGGACCAGATACCTGAGGACCAGAGACCTGAGGACCAGAGACAAGAGGACCAGAGACCTGAGGACCAGAGACCTGAGGACCAGAGACCTGAGGACCAGAGACCTGAGGACCAGAGACAAGAGGACCAGAGACCTGAGGACCAGAGACCAGAGGACCAGAGACCTGAGGACCAGAGACCTGAGGACCAGAGACCTGAGGACCAGAGACCTGAGGACCAGAGACCTGAGGACCAGAGACCTGAGGACCAGAGACCTGAGAACCAGAGACCTGAGGACCAGAGACCAGAGGACCAGAGACCAGAGGACCAGAGAACCAGAGGACCAGAGACCTGAGGACCAGAGACCTGAGGACCAGAGACCTGAGGACCAGAGACCTGAGGACCAGAGACCTGAGGACCAGAGACCTGAGGACCAGAGACCTGAGGACCAGAGACCTGAGGACCAGAGACCTGAGGACCAGAGACCTGAGGACCAGAGACCTGAGGACCAGAGACCTGAGGACCAGAGACCTGAGGACCAGAGACCTGAGACAAGAGGACCAGAGACAAGAGGACCAGAGACCTGAGGACCAGAGACCTGAGGACCAGAGACCTGAGGACCAGAGACCTGAGGACCAGAGACCAGAGGACCAGAGACCTGAGGACCAGAGACCTGAGGACCAGAGACCTGAGGACCAGAGACCTGAGGACCAGAGACCTGAGGACCAGAGACCTGAGGACAAACAAACTCGTCCTTTATGAAGTCTTTGAAAGACTTTATTTATGTTTTTGTTATAAATATGTTTGGTCACACTTTACTTTAGCCCTCACTAATTAACCACTAATTAGTGTATAATGCATGGTTAATTTTCTCTTAATGTGTATTTATTCAGCGTATATTAGTCCTTTTTCTACATGGTCTTACCCAACATCTAAATAACTACTGACAGACGTGTGGGTTAGCGTTAGCGTACACTTATTAGCACTTAATTAGCTTCTAGTTAGTGAGGGCTAATCTAAAGTGTTACAATGTGTTTGGACAGCATTTCTTTACACATTAAATTCACTTGTAAATGCTATGTCCCATTATGGTCCCACAGAGACCTGGTCCTGCTGGACCTCCTTCTTCCTGGTTAGCTAACCTCCTTCTTCCTGGTTAGCCAACCTCCTTCTTCCTGGTTAGCCAACCTCCTTCTTCCTGGTTAGCCAACCTCCTTCTTCCTGGTTAGCCAACCTCCTTCTTCCTGGTTAGCTAACCTCCTTCTTCCTGGTTAGCCAACCTCCTTCTTCCTGGTTAGCTAACCTCCTTCTTCCTGGTTAGCTAACCTCCTTCTTCCTGGTTAGCCAACTTCCTTCTTCCTGGTTAGCTAACCTCCTTCTTCCTGGTTAGCTAACCTCCTTCTTCCTGGTTAGCCAACCTCCTTCTTCCTGGTTAGCTAACCTCCTTCTTCCTGGTTAGCCAACCTCCTTCTTCCTGGTTAGCCAACCTCCTTCTTCCTGGTTAGCTAACCTCCTTCTTCCTGGTTAGCTAACCTCCTTCTTCCTGGTTAGCTAACCTCCTTCTTCCTGGTTTGCTAACCTCCTTCTTCCTGGTTAGCCAACCTCCTTCTTCCTGGTTAGCTAACCTCCTTCTTCCTGGTTAGCTAACCTCCTTCTTCCTGGTTAGCTAACCTCCTTCTTCCTGGTTTGCAGTGACCCTGGAGCAGATGCAGGAGGACATCTTGGACAAACCAAACCTGTTTCTGTACCTGCCCCACCTCAGGGAGCACCCCCACAGCCTCCTGCCCAACAGGGTGCTGAGCCAGGGCCGCACTGGAGGTAGGAGGAGGAGGGAGGAGGAGGAAGAGGAGGAGGAGGAGGTAGGGAGGAGGAGGAAGAGGAGGAGGAGGAGGAGGGAGGAGGAGGAAGAGGAGGAGGAGGAGGTAGGGAGGAGGAGGAGGAGGAGGAGGAGGAGGAAGGAGGAGGAGGTAGGAGGAGGAAGGAGGAGGAGGTAGGAGGAGGGAGGAGGAGGAGGAGGAGGAAGGAGGAGGAGGAAGGAGGAGGAGGGAGGAGGAGGAAGGAGGAGGAGGAGAGAGGAGGAGGAAGGAGGAGGAGGAAGTAGGAGGAGGGAGGAGGAGGAGGAGGAGGAGGAAGGAGGAGGAGGAAGGAGGAGGAGGAGGAAGGAGGAGGAGGAAGTAGGAGGAGGGAGGAGGAGGAGGAGGAGGAGGAGGAGGAGGAGGAGGAAGAGGAGGAGGAGGAGGAGGAAGGAAGAGGTAGGGAGGAAGAGGTAGGGAGGAGGAGGAGGAAGAGGATGTAGGAGGAGGAGGAGGTAGGAGGAGGAAGAGGAGGAGGAGGAAGAGGAGGGAGGAGGTAGGAGGAGGAAGAGGAGGAGGAAGGAGGAGGAAGAGGATGTAGGAGGAGGAGGAGGTAGGAGGAGGAAGAGGAGGAGGAGGAAGGAGGAGGAGGAAGAGGAGGAGGTAGGAGGAGGAGGAGGAGGAGGAAGGAGGAGGAGGAAGAGGAGGAGGAGGAGGAAGGAGGAGGTAGGGAGGAGGAGGAGGAAGAGGATGTAGGAGGAGGAGGAGGTAGGAGGAGGAAGAGGAGGAGGTAGGAAGAGGAAGAGGAGGAGGAGGAAGAGGAGGAGGAAGGAGGAGGTAGGAGGAGGAGGGAGGAGGAGGAAGAGGAGGAGGAGGAGGAAGGAGGAGGAGGAGGAGTAGGAGGAGGAAGGAGGAGGAGGATGTAGGAGGAGGAGGAGGAAGGAGGAGGATGTAGGAGGAGGAAGGAGGAGGAGGATGTAGGAGGAGGAGGAGGAAGGAGGAGGAGGATGTAGGAGGAGGAGGATGTAGGAGGAGGATGATGTAGGAGGAGGAGGAAGGAGGAAGGAGGAGGAGGAAGGAGGAAGAGGAGGCTGATGATGATGATGATGATGATGCAGAATCTGTTTATATGATGTTCTTGTGAATGATGGAATCCAAAGGCCACAGCTGCAGGTGAAAGCCAGATCCTGTCCTCTGAAGCTAAGCAGGGCAGAGCCTGGTCAGTACTGTGATGGGAGACCTCTGGGAACAGCAGGTGCCACAGTGGGGCGGCTGCGGCTGTAAAGTGCCAAACTGCTGTTGTGTCCTTAGGCAAGACACTTCCCCCACATTAGTCTGATGTGTGTGTGAATGGTTGGTGGTGGTGGGAGGGGCCGATGGCACAGACTGGTTGCCTCTCTTCTGTCAGTGTGCCCCAGGGCAGCTGTGGCTACAGTAGTAGTTTATCACCACCGTGTTTGGAGAGGGGGCAACAGTAGCTCAGTTGGTAGAGCATTGGCCTTTGGGCCTGAAGGTTGTGGGTTCAAGCCCACCATAAGACCTACTTCACGACTCCCACTGATGACTGCTGTCGTTGTGTCCTTGGGAAAGACACTTAACCCCACTTTGCCTGAAGCTCCCACTGAAAGATCTCAGCTCCTGTGGACTCACCACCTGCAGGAGGATCAGTGAGGGGCTGGTGCTCTGTGACTGGGTGCAGCTCTGACTGGCACCCCCCCGACCCAGAAATGGATTAAGGGGAAGAAAATGGATGGATGGATGGGTGTTTGGAGAGAAAGAATAATGATGTGAAGAGATTGTCCAAAAAGCGCATATAAAACTGATGCATTATTATTATTTTTGTTAAGACATTAGAACGACTCTGGTGTGTGTGTGAATGGTTGTTCACCCAGAACTGAGGCTGTAGATCCAGGGCTGAGGCTGTAGATCCAGGGCTGAGGCTGTAGACCCAGGACTGAGGCTGTGTGGACCCAGGACTGAGACTGTAGACCCAGGACTGAGACTGTAGACCCAGGACTGAGGCTGTGTGGACCCAGGACTGAGACTGTAGACCCAGGACTGAGACTGTAGACCCAGGACTGAGACTGTAGATCCAGGACTGAGGCTGTAGACCCAGGACTGAGGCTGTAGACCCAGGACTGAGACTGTAGACCCAGGACTGAGGTTGTAGACCCAGGACTGAGGCTGTAGATCCAGGACTGAGGCTGTAGACTATCGTATTAAAAAATGATGTGTTCAAAATCCCTTATAAAGATGACCACGATTCAGAAAGTTAAATTCAAAAAGCTTTATTTCCCTAATACAAAAAGAATCTAAAACAGCTGTTCGGACCAAAAGTAACTATCCCTTATTCTCTATATAAAGTATAAAAGTATAACTTTGGGTGGGCGCTCCACACCAAGTCACACTACTGTCCCTGGTCCGGTAAAAAACTAACTTAACACATTCAAGCTATTCCCTATAAGTAAATGTGCAGGAAGAAGGGGGCGTGTCGTATCAGTCAGCTCTCGGTCCAGGGTCCGGCCTCTTCCATCATGTCTCCTCCGTCTCGCCGGACCTTAAACAGAATCATTCACACACACTACCCCTCGCCAATCTATAGATTTATTACTTCCTTGAGATAAGGCAGAAGGCTCTCAAGGCTGCTCCTCCAGATTCTGGGCCCCATCTCCTTCTCTAAACAACTGAAAGGATTAGCAGAATCCAGGAATGCCGATCCCCCTTGGCCTGAGATTAACTATCATTAACTTACCCTGCACTTTGGACAAAAATGGGACCAGGGGAGAAGAGCAATACAAGGTCTTTTTTGGCTTGGAAAAAGACAGAGTTCAATTCCGGGTCAATCAAATTCACATCGGCTTTTAAGACCCTTTATTCCCAGGACCCAGGACTGAGGTTGTAGATCCAGGACTGAGGCTGTAGACCCAGGACCGAGGCTGTAGATCAGGCAAGTCAAAGTCAAATACATCAGAGGGCCAAAAAAAAATGTTTGCTACGCGCCGAGGGCCGGACTGGTTCAATGTTTCTCAACATCCAGAGGCAGTGCCGGTGACACCTGTTGGCTCAATAAAATATGCTCTAAAGCCAATCCTCATACTGTACATATTAGATGTAATAGACATCTGAGAACATGAAAATAGTAAAAAAAGAAAAAGCTCAAACTTGGTGAAATGTAAAAGAGCAGTCTGGACCTCTTTTCGGGGCGTTTTTTGATTAAATCTGAAGAATGGATTATACCTTGGGAAATACAAGTGGATATTCTTCTTCAATGAACAGTTACGAAGAGAAAGAGACTAAGCAAGGATGGGGAAAGTCTAATTTGTTGGAGCAGCAGAAGACTAAAGGTAAAAAACAAATACAGACTGATTTATTTTGTGCCCATATTATGCGTTATATCTTTTTAATGCAAAGTCTAAATGATTAAAATGATATATAGCTTGTGGCTTATGAAGTTCAAAATACATCTGCTATTGCCAGCAGATGTATTTTTTTCCTCGTTTGCTCCCGCCGGCGGGGGCTAGCGAGCTTAAGGGGTCAATACATTGCCTCAATGGCAGGCAATGTCCCGGGGGCCATAGATAATTAATTCGCGGGCCGCATTTGGCCCGCGGGCCTTGACTTTGACACATGTGCTGTAGATCATGAGAAAGGATAAAAAATGTCTTAATGCAATTGGAAGAGTTTATATATATAACTTTTGTGCAGGTTTGAAGTAATCCCTTCTTCTCTTTAAAAAATGCAAAGTTATATACAAACAATACTTCGTCTACGATTAGGTTCCAAAGTTCAAATGTTATATATGAATGTAGATATAGAATAGTAAAAACTGTAAGTGGTTGTTTATGCAGTGTTCTACAGAGGTACAGAATGTAAAGCCGCTGTATACTGTAGACCCAGGACTGAGGCTGTAGACCCAGGACTGAGGCTGTAGACCCAGGACTGAGGCTGTAGACCCAGGACTGAGGCTGTAGACCCAGGACTGAGGCTGTAGACCCAGGACTGAGGCTGTAGACCCAGGACTGAGGCTGTAGACCCAGGACTGAGGCTGTAGACCCAGGACTGAGGCTGTAGACCCAGGACTGAGACTGTAGACCCAGGACTGAGGCTGTAGACCCAGGACTATAGCAAAGTGTATTTACAGTGTGTTGTGTGCAGTGTCCGTGGTGCTGGGGATCCCCACAGTGAAGCGTGTGAAGCAGAGTTATGTGGTGGCCACGCTGGGCTCCCTGCTCCTCCACCTCACCTCCTCCCAGTGCCAGGACCTCCTCCTCATCGTCTTTGTGGCTGAGGTGGTTTGGACTTTTTATTCAGCAGCTTCAAACTACGTCATGTGATTAGCATTAGCGTCTGAATGCCATTCCCCACATATGTAGCATTAGCCTCATTCCCACTGAGCAAAAGCCCGAGTCTGCTCTGAAGGACACAGGTTGGTGGGTTCAGGCGTTTGACCCGCCGTGTGATCTAGCCTTGTTCCCAATGCCCGTTCTCTCCTCCTGTTGGTCGTTCTAAAACTATTGTCACAAACGTAAGTGGTGATGAACAGGTGTTCTGTGGAGTTGGTCTGCCCGTCGAGATGCACTGCCTCATCTGTTAATGATGTAATGCAAACCAGCGCTGCGCGTCTCACGGCAGCCGAAGCAATCCAAGATGGCGGACATGTAGTCCGCGAATTGCTTTAAAAGTTAAATAGGAACGAGTTAAGACACGAATGTCACTTTTAATGCAATTTGAGGCGAGATGTTGATGGTTCCGCGTTGTGATATGTGGGTTTTTAGAGTAAGAGTTTGGTGTAAAGTTTGTTTTAAAGGAGCAATATGTAAAAATCTGGCCAAAAGTGGTACTGCAGTCACAGTCAATATTTTGTAGTCCTCTCCCACTCTCCCTGACTCAGGTTGCCAGATTCACACCAAATCCAGCAGCAAACACAGGGAATTATTTTATCAGTTGTTTGTCCATCTCCATTCGCATTGTCATGACAGCCGTGCTAATGCTGAATGAATGTTTTGATTAATGTTTTTTTATTATTATTATTTGGACATTTGAGATAAAAAACAAAAACAAAATAAAAGCAATGTAATTATACATAGTTCATGCAAAATAAATAAGCAATTGATGTCCAAAATAGGAGTGGGAAGAATGGATGTTGGAACGTATTTCTTCAGCGTATCAACATCAGGGTTTGCTCAAGAGGATATCACCTTTCAATTTTATTTATTCCCTATTTTTTAGACAAACATGTAAAAGTTCCACATCAAAAAGAGACTAACATTATTTTAATTGGGGTACATGTGGTCTTAAATGATTATTTTTACAATTAAGCTATAATCTGCAAAAAAACGTCTTGACCTTCATCTTTTACCGTTTTTAGAGCAATCTGTCATAGAATGTAATAACATGCAATAAATACAAAAAGACATAGCCCGGGATCGAACCCGGGTTCCTGCATCGTAAGCGCACAGTTTAGACCACTAGACCACCGATTCACACGAATGACACGCTGTGAAGAACGGACTCAAACTAGAAAATTCTGCATCACACGTGAACTTTTATCAGCTGTCTCAATTGTTCAAAGGCGTCCCGATATAAATCCTCGTTTTAGTCTTTGTTTTGTCATTAATGATTTGAGAGTCATAACAAGACCTTTTTTAGTTCTGCGCCACATGTTATTTTACCACTGAGATTAATGAGCCGCGCGGAGTTCTGGCAACCCGATCACGGACTTACATGACACTTCCTGATTGGCGAAACGGCGGAGGGCGGGACATCAAAATCAAAACAATAACAACTTTTACGGGTCGTAAAACTAATTTTGATAATCAAATATCTCGGCTGAACTACTGTTATCAGTTAAAGATGAATTCGAAAAGAGTATGATTTAATAACGCCTTTTGAAATATTCGGGTCATTTAATGATGACTTGACATCCAAATATTACATATTGCTCCTTTAAGCAGTCCACTGCTCCTGTGAAACTACACTGCTGCTGTGAAACTACACTGCTGCTGTGAAACTACACTGCTGCTGTGAAACTACACTGCTGCTGTGAAACTACACTGCTGCTGTGAAACTACACTGCTGCTGTGAAACTACACTGCTGCTGCTGTGAAACTACACTGCTGCTGTGAAACTACACTGCTGCTGTGAAACTACACTGCTGCTGTGAAACTACACTGCTGCTGTGAAACTACACTGCTGCTGTGAAACTACACTGCTGCTGTGAAACTACACTGCTGCTGTGAAACTACACTGCTGCTGTGAAACTACACTGCTGCTGTGAAACTACACTGCTGCTGTGAAACTACACTGCTGCTGTGAAACTACACTGCTGCTGTGAAACTACACTGCTGCTGCTGTGTGAAACTACACTGCTGCTGCTGTGAAACTACACTGCTGCTGCTGTTCCCGTCATCGTACCATGAAACAGACAATGGGACAACGGGTGAATAGCAATGAACAAACTACAGTCAGAATCCTAAAAATGCTAAACAGATAAAGTAGGAAGGAGGAGAGGATAGTGCTCAAGTTACCATACTTCTCCCAGCAAACTGACTCCCTATGCAGCTTGACTGACAGTCTGAGGAGTTTAACCTTCTCCGAGTCTTACCTTCCTAGCCATATGCTAAACTAAAGAGGACTGTTTTAAACCTAGCCTTGAATAAAGAGAGCGTATCTGAAAGGAGTGAGACAGCAGCAGCCACGGCTAGGCTAGTCTAGGCTACAGCACCAAGATATAACATAAGGCATGCACCCTAAAAGTAGGTACATATATCCGACTACCAGGCATAATTAGCCTAACTAGATGCTAAAGTATAGGTAGAGTGCTTTAATGCCTGGCCTTGAATGTGGGAGCCCGTATCTGCTTCCTTAACATACAGTGCCTTGCGAAAGTATTCGGCCCCCTTGAACCTTTCAACATTTCGCCACATTTCAGGCTTCAAACATAAAGATATAAAAATTAATTGTTTTGTCAAGAATCAACAACAAGTGGGACACAATCGTGAAGTGGAACGAAATTTATTGGATAATTTAAACTTTTTTAACAAATAAAAAACTGAAAAGTGGGGCGTGCAATATTATTCGGCCCCCTTGCGCTAATACTTTGTAGCGCCACCTTTTGCTGCAATTACAGCTGCAAGTCGCTTGGGGTATGTCTCTATCAGTTTTGCACATCGAGAGACTGGAATTCTTGCCCATTCTTCCTTGCAAAACAGCTCGAGCTCAGTGAGGTTGGATGGAGAGCGTTTGTGAACAGCAGTCTTCAGCTCTTTCCACAGATTCTCGATTGGATTCAGGTCTGGACTTTGACTTGGCCATTCTAACACCTGGATACGTCTATTTGTGAACCATTCCATTGTAGATTTGGCTTTATGTTTTGGATCATTGTCCTGTTGGAAGATAAATCTCCGTCCCAGTCTCAGGTCTTTTGCAGACTCCAACAGGTTTTCTTCCAGAATGGTCCTGTATTTGGCTCCATCCATCTTCCCATCAATTTTAGCCATCTTCCCTGTCCCTGCTGAAGAAAAGCAGGCCCAAAGCATGATGCTGCCACCACCATGTTTGACAGTGGGGATGGTGTGTTCAGGGTGATGAGCTGTGTTGCTTTTACGCCAAACATATCGTTTTGCATTGTGGCCAAAAAGTTCGATTTTGGTTTCATCTGACCAGAGCACCTTCTTCCACATGTTTGGTGTGTCTCCCAGGTGGCTTGTGGCAAACTTTAAACAAGACTTTTTATGGATATCTTTGAGAAATGGCTTTCTTCTTGCCACTCTTCCATAAAGGCCAGATTTGTGCAGTGCACGACTGATTGTTGTCCTATGGACAGACTCTCCCACCTCAGCTGTAGTTATCTGCAGTTCATCCAGAGTGATCATGGGCCTCTTGGCTGCATCTCTGATCAGTCTTCTCCTTGTTTGAGATGAAAGTTTGGAGGGACGGCCGGGTCTTGGTAGATCAAACCTTTGAACCTGTGGCTCGTTAATCTTTTAAGAACAATCAACAATGCAACAGTTGAAACTGGTGCTAGGAAGAGAACTGCAGCTATTTAATGGACGCTGGCATTTACTACAAAATGGTTTGTTCAGACAATTAAAGTTGAAAAATGATTTTAAAAGCATTTCTGAATTTTGGATAAAGGGATATTGGATCATTTCTGATAACACATAGACGCAACCTCTGTCATTGGTGAAACAAAGATGTAGGGGGACCTTTTTTTGAAATCTTTTATTACATGTTTTCTCTTCCAATAGCTAAATTTAGAAACATTTAGGGACACTTATGGCTTTTGATAGAACTGTTGTGGCCATTCATCTGGAGACATGGATTGGGCGCACGTACAACAACCACATAAAACAATGGTCATTTCCTCCACATGAACGGAAACAAAAGGGGAAGTATTAAAGTTGAAACTTTTTACATTTTTAAAGGATCCGAACTGCTTTAAAAAAAAAAAGGGAAAAACATTATTGCACTGCAAGAGTTTTTGTTTAAAGTAACAAGAGCTCATTAAAAATATAGGGGACACAAGTTTGTGGACAAGCCCAGTAAAGACCAACGGGTTTAAAACACGAAAGTTTGAAATGGAACCTTTTAAGAAAAAAATCTCTTAATGCTCTGCATGTTCTGCAGGCGCTGGAAAGTTGCAACAATAGAAATAGCTCATGCGACAATTGAAATTGGGACATGGAAAAATATAACAACAGTTAAAACACAGGCCTTCTGTGTTGTTTTTAATATGTTTGTGTGTTTATATAGGTTGTGTGTGTTTATATGTTTGTGTAGATATATGTTGTGCGTCATGTCCAATACACACGATGACCTTATCTAAACTCTGGACCAAAAGGACCTAACGAGGGGAAACGGCCGTGAGAGTGATGCGAGAGTGTTGTGAAATGAGGAGTGAAATGAGGAGTGCTGAATCGGATCATGAATAACAAAAAGTTTTTCTGTAATGTTTTATGTATCATGGAATAATTATTTTTTGTCAACAGCATACGGTGTTAGTATATAGATTCAAAGATAACAAGCTTTATTGAACAGGTGTAAAATGAAGTACTTTGCTGGATGAGTACTCTGAGAAAAGTAACTCTGAGAAAGGAACTCTGAGATGAAATACCTTGCTGAAGGGACTGGGAGCCCCTCCCTCGGCTGGTTTGTCCGGACAGTGATTCGGTCCAACCGCAGTGAGCAGGTCATTGTGCGGGAGGACAACTTTGGTTTGTAACTCACATTTAGGGAGTATAAAATTAGAAACATACATATTGTTAATCTGTATTTGGCTAACAGCCCTCTTCCCTGATGCCACTCACGCGTCTGTCCATGCAGTTATGTTTTTGCCCAATTGGGGAGTGTGTTTGGGGGGGGTGAGGGGCGGGGGAGGGGGGTCGCCGGGTGGGGGGGTAACCATGCGAAGGGGAGGGGGAGAGGTTGGCGTTTTCTTGGTGTTCGGGTAAGTTTCTGTAGGGTTGTAGGTGTGGTGTGTTTTGCCAGGATGGGAAAGTGGGGGGGGGAGGATAGGATGGAAGGGCACCTGCTTCAGGGATGAAAGTAGTATGGATCATAAGGAAATGAGCCTCTACTTTGGCACCAAAGCCCACAATTATGAATTGAGACATCCGGGCGAAGAACAACTGGAAGAATTGGAACAGTAATCGTCACACACACAGACGAAGGTTTATACTTTGGCCCATACCAAGAGAGGATATGGAATGTTATGTCTTAGGTGGTCAGGGTCCTTAACCTTCTAAATCATTAGAAAGAATGTAAAACATATATTTACAAGAACAAATAAATAATCGAAAGGGCAGCCTAAAAAGCAAAATGGGATAATTATTAATAAGTTGCGGCAGTTGCATAAATGGAATAAAATTCTAATATTTGTCCCATAGGGGGGCAATCTAATTTAGTGTGTGCTAGTCAAAAGGAGAAATAATTAGCGCCTAAAACATCAAACTGATTCTACTCTTTAAGATAATCGATCATAGAATAATTAAGATAATAAGAAGAAAAGAATGAAATAGTATCTGGAAGCTATAATGTCATTGGAATTCAAAGGACTATAGTGGAAAGGCGCTAGGAAGAGGTCAGAAATATAACAATAGTAATAAGAGTTAGACAAGTGAATAATCAAATAGTGTAAGTTGGGGGGAAATAAGTATCAATAAGGGCAAATTTGTTTCTAATAACTAAAGTAAAAAGGAATCATATGGTCAGATTTTAGATGTTTCAGTTTCCACTCACTGTAGAACTAGTGCAAGGTTGTTTAGAGATTGAGAGTAGGATTAAAAGGCAGACAAAACGACAGGCTTTTAACACAATTTGAAATGCTAAAAACAGCTCAAAGAAACATTGCCTTGACGCAGCCTCTGACTGCTCCATTGGAGAACAGGTGTAAATGTTATTGTTTATTAAAACAGCTATGTATTTACACATTATTAAGTTTGGGTCAACTCTTTACACACAGTTATAAGCATGGACAGAAGCCAGGAATAGTGCGTGGTGTATTATATAATTAATTTCATACCTTAATAATCGTAGAGAACGTTTTAAAATAGGTAAAATCCCGTTCAGGCAACTTGATTTAGATGTATGTCTTTAATATTTGGAGAACGACTGTGTTTTGTTTTTTGGAATTGTCTGAAAAACAATACATCGTAATAGTGATTTGCAGAACAAAACCAGCCAATGAAAAATCGTCTATTGCAATGCAAATTGTTACAATCAGAACTCAAAAATTGGGAATATGCTTTTTGGCTCAAACTACAACCAAATTTTGGAGTCCCAATAGAGTGGTAGAATAGATAGATGCTTTTCAAAAATAGAGGATTATTTTTAGACAGGGCTAATAGCAAACGGTAAAAGACCATTCCTTCAGATTATGTCCAAAATATTTACTTCAAAGGTAGATAAATTCAGTTACAGTTTATGCACAGTTTTATTAATACTGTCAATATTCACTTTTGGTTCAAACATGGGTGAATGGTGACAATGCAAAAAGCAATGAGATAGTAAAAGCATTTTGGTTAATTTGAATATAGCACAAAAGTAGATATTTAGGTAGTTTTGAGAATTTTAAGAGCTGTCGATTTGTCAGCAACAGATTAGAGAATCAAAATACCGTTGTATAGGGACTGACCCCAGAGAAACCTGCTAAAATAGATTAGCTCCTGTAACGATAATACCAATTTGATTAATGATGAAGAATCAGAATGACACAGCGGTGGTCATCAAAGAGTTTTGTGAAGGAATGTTTCGAATGTGGTTTTGTGTTGTATTCTTTCTGTATTGGCTCTTCACAGATATCAAGCCTGAACTAAGCACAAGTATGGATGATAAACGACGATGTGGATTGTGACCTGATTTTTAATCAGGTCAAAAGAGGGAAACTGTTGCATAATTAAAATGTTGTATACTAATGATTTTGAAAATAGGCCCTCTGAAGAAGGTGCACGGGGAAAAGCCCCAAGGACAAAGGAATATGCACTCAGGAATCATAGAGATGACCAGCTTTCAAAACGGGACAAATTATTAACTCCAGGAATAAACAAATGCTCTCTCCCACTCTGGACGAGGGCAAAAGTCCAACACAATCAGGCGCCCAGTGGTGGGGGGCATTGTTTGCTCAGGTGGAGAGGGAAGACCAAGACCGGGTCCAGACCAGGGGCCAGACCAGTCCCAGACTGTGACGTCATCGGACCCTTTGATAGAAACTGCTGGGAGGAGATTGGCAGTCAGTCAGCCGAGGGCCAGGAGAGAGGGACATATATAGTTTTAGGAGCACTTTTTGTTGAACATTCTGTATCTGATTGTAAAGATAATTAAATGCAGATGTTAAACGTGAAGATCTCTTGTCTCGCTCTTGCATCGATTTTGGATACGTCAGTCAAAGGGAATTATTGACTTCAAACTCAAAAACAACATAACTTCCTCCTGCAACTTGCACTAGGACTAAAATAACCTGTTTGCACATTTCTTTCTTTTGCACAAATCTTGAGTGATTCGATCCATGCCAGAAGTGATGTACATTTATCCTGTGTGACATCAATAAAATCTACCTTATCCATCTTCTTCCCCTTAATCCCTTTCTGGGTCGGGGGGGTGGGGTTCGGGTGGCAGTCAGAGCTGCACCCAGTACACAGAGCACCCTGATTCCTGCAGGTGCTGAGTCCACAGGAGCCGCCACTTTTTTGTACATAATATATCCTGCATTAACATGCTGCACATTTCTTACTTTTGCACAATTCTTGAGTGTTCCTATCCTTGCCAATGTGACATGTACATTTCACCTGTGTGAGATTAATAAATTCTTATCTTATTTTCCAGCAGGGGCTTGCCCAAGGACACAACGACAGCAGATATCAGTGGGAGTCATAAAGTAGGTCTTATGGCGGGCTTGAACCCACAACCTTCAGGCCCAAAGGCTAATGCACAACCAACTGAGCCACTGTTGCCTTCTACCTGGTTTAGCCTGGGCATCTTTCTGTGAAAGCCGGCACCTGGCCACATGCCTCCACAGCCACTTTCGCTTAAGCAATGCCCCACAGTCTATACAGTGCAAAAACTCACTGGATTTAACTGGGGAATTTGGCTGTTTAGCTGGGACTAAAGTTCCAATGCCGGTGTGAGATTTCATAACACTTTGAAGCAATTATTGTTAAAGTTCAAACTCATCCTTATTACATTTGCACGAGCCAGTACTTTTCCCTTGTTTTGACTTCTGAAGGCCAAGCTACATGGCACCGTGGAAGCTGCTGATTGGAGGACTGCACTCCTCCTGCTGTATAATACACTTGCTGTCGTAACATCCCTTGTTCGTGTGCTTTGTTCGTGCTGTCTCTACCATCGACAATAAAACATGTCTTCTGTCTGAATGAAAGACGCGATCCCAGACTTTGTCATCTTCTTCACCGGCCTTTAAAACCTCAAAATTGTGCTCACGGTTTCCACTATTCCTGATCAAATCAAACTGAAGTTTACGTGCTTTAGATTTCACAGGTAGAACCAATGCTCTGGCTACGTCACTTTCATTTCCATGTTTTCTAGTCAAATGACGGGACATTTTGTGGCAGGACATTGAACAGTAGAGGCAGAAGTGTCTCTTGCTATAAACTCGCCCCCCATTTTTCTTCTTTTGCAGCTGCATGATAACAATCTTATTTGCCTTTGGTTCGTCACTTTCCGAGTCTTGAAGAAAAGTGTTTTTGATTTTTCTTTTTCCATACTTTTTTACAGGTTTCTTCTTGACAGTTAAATCGTCAGAATCTGAGTCGACTTCATCAATTAGGGACTCTTGACTAAGCTGCACAAACAACAAATAATTAGTAATAATTCAACTTATTAACAATTTGTAATCATAACTTGTAGTCAGCACTTACCGGGGATTTGAGCGTGCGCTTCAGTTGCTCCTCCATGATTTCTTCCATGAAACCTTCCTTGGCTTTGACTAATCCCTGTACAACTGAGAGCTTACACAAACTGTGATGACAGTAGTTTACAGATCACTTAATGATAGAGTTAATAATGACTCAGTGTTAAACTCTGACGTTTATTAAAGATAATTATATTTACTACAACTGGACTGAGGCCAGAGAGAGACCAGAGAGACCAGAGAGAGAGACCAGAGAGAGACCAGAGAGAGACCAGAGAGAGACCAGAGAGAGACCAGAGAGAGACCAGAGAGAGAGACCAGAGAGAGAGACCAGAGAGAGACCAGAGAGAGACCAGAGAGAGAGACCAGAGAGAGAGAGGCCACAGAGAGAGACCAGAGAGAGAGAGGCCAGAGAGAGACCAGAGAGAGAGACCAGAGAGATACCAGAGAGAGAGAGGCCACAGAGAGAGACCAGAAAGAGAGCAGAGAGAGAGGCCAGAGAGAGGCCACAGAGAGAGACCAGAGAGAGAGAGGCCACAGAGAGAGACCCCCCGCAGCAGAAGCAAAAGTGTATTAGCGTTTGTTGTAGTTAAATAGTGAAATACTGTCTGTGTTAAAAGTATCTGCAGTGAACTTGGATTCTTCTCTGGAACAACTTCAAACTTCAATAAAAATCTGGAAGGAAAAAGAATGATACAGTTTGATACAGAAACACACAATGTGCAAACACACAAACACACACACAGAGCACACACACAGAGCACACACACAGAGCGCACACACACGTTACATGGTAGTCACATGGTCACATGGTAGTCACATGTTGGACACATTGTAGTCACATGGTGGTCACATGGTAGTCACGTGGTAGTTACATGTTGGTCACATGTTGGACACGTGGTAGTTACATGTTGGTCACATGGTGGTCACATGGTAGTCACATTGTAGTCACATGTTGGTCACATGGTAGTCACATGGTTGCTACCTCTTTGAGCATGACCCAGAAGTCCGAGTCCTGTTGAACCATCAGACGAAGCGCTGAGACCGGCTGCAAAGTCTCATTCACTCTGCCCTCGGCTCGGCCTTTGTCAAACCTGCCTGAACACCACACAATTACTACACAATTACTACACACAGAACACCACACAATTACTACACAATTACTACACACAGAACACCACACAATTACTACACAATTACTACACACAGAACACCACACAATTACTACACAATTACTACACACAGAACACCACACAATTACTACACACAGTTACTATACACTGTTACTACACACAGAACACCACACAATTACTACACACAGTTACTACACACTGTTACTACACACAGAACACTACACAATTACTACACACATAACACCACACCGTTACTACACACAGTTACTACACAGTTACTACACACTGTTACTACACACAGTTACTACACAGTTACTACACACAGTTACTACACACTGTTACTACACACTGTTACTACACACAGTTACTACACACTGTTACTGCACACATAACACCACAGTTATTACACACTGTTACTACACACGGTTACAACACACAGTTACTACACACAGTTACTACACACTGTTACTACACACTGTTACTACACACTGTTACTACACACTGTTACTACACACTGTTACTACACACAGTTACTACACACAGTTACTACACACTGTTACTACACAATTACTACACACATAATCAATCAATCAATCAAAGTTTATTTGTAGAGCGCCTTTCATACACAGGGCAACACAAAGCGCTTCACAGTCCACATCACAAATCATCACATAAAACAAACACCAGAATCACAATTAAAACATTAAAATCACAAAAAAGATTAAAACACAATTAAAACATTAAAATCACACAAAAGAATAAAACCATTAAAACTTTCAAAATTACACAAGAAATTTAAAAAAATAAAAAAATAAATGACAACAGTGCATTAGAAATGGAGATAAAATCCTTCAGTTGTATGCACAGGCAAACAGAACAGTTACTACACACAGTTACTACACACAGTTACTACACACAGTTACTACACACAGTTACTACACACTGTTACTACACACTGTTACTACACACTGTTACTGCACACTGTTACTACACAATTACTACACACATAACACCACTGTTACTACACACAGTTACTACACACAGTTACTACACACTGTTACTACACACTGCTGATGTGAAACAGACACAGAGGGTGGATCAGTCAGTCACTGCAGCTGCTTTCCAGAGCAGACAGAGGCTTTCCAATCAAAAAGAGCTCGTTATAGACCTGCTGCTCAGTCTGCAGTGTCTGCAGCAGATCATGGTTTCTATGGAAACTAAGAAATCTTTTTCATCATCAGCTTTACTGCTCCTCCTCCTAGATCCTCCTCTCCCTCTCCTCTCCCCTCCTCCCACCCTCCCACCCTTCTCTCTTCCACCTTCACCCTGCTCTTTCCTCCTCTCCCCCTCCTTCTTCCTCCTCTCTCCTCTCCCCTCCCCTCCTCCCCCCCTCCTCTCTCCCTCCTCCCTTCTCCCGCTCCTTCTCCCTCCTCCCTCCCTCCCTCCTCTCTCCCCCGCCCACCCTCCTCTCTCCCCCTTCCTCCCTCCTCCTCCCCTCTCCCCTCCTTCTCCCTCCTCTCTCCCCCTTCCTCCCTCCTCCTCCCCTCTCCCGCTCCTTCTCCCTCCTCTCTCCCCCTCCCTCACTCCTCTCTCCCCTCCTCCCCTCTCCCGCTCCTTCTCCCTCCTCTCTCCCCTCCCTCACTCCTCTCTCCCTCCTCCCCTCTCCCCTCCCCCGCCCCTTCTCCCTCCTCTCTCCCCCTCCCTCCCTCCTCTCCCCCCTCCCTCCCTCCTCTCTCCCTCCCTCCCTCCCCCCCTCCTCTCTCCCTCCTCGCTTCTCCGCTCCTCTCTCCCGCTCCTTCTCCCTCCCTCCTCCCTCCCTCCCTCCCTCCTCTCTCCCCCTTCCTCCCTCCTCCTCCCCTCTCCCCTCCTCGCTCCCGCTTCTTCTCCCTCCTCTCTTCCCCTCCCTCCCTCCTCCTTCCTCTCTCCCCCCCTCCCTCCTCTCGCCCCCTCCCTCCCTCCTCTCACCCTCCTCCTCCCTGCTCCCCTCCTCGCTCCCGCTTCTTCTCCCTCCTCTCTTCCCCTCCCTCCCTCCTCCTTCCTCTCTCCTCTCTCCCTCCCTCTCTCCCTCCTCTCTCCCTCCTCTCTCCCCCTTTCTCCCTCCTCTCTCCCTCCTCTCTCCCTCCTCTCTCTCCCCCTCTCTCCCTCTTCTCTCCCTCCTCCTCCCTCCTCCTCCCCTCATTTCCGTGGACACTGGGTGTATTTTTCGGATCCAGATCGAAACCTGAGAATCTCCGTTTGTGTTTTTAACTGATGCCATTTAATACGAAAGATTGAATAAACATGTGAACGGAGCACAACTCACCTACGCCCAGATAAACAGCGTAATTAAACACCAAAATGACAGCGGGAAACAAATAACCTGGTCTTACCACACCATTGTACTCATTTCATTAGTACTCAGGTCTGGATGTGCTCCTTTGACTCCGTTAACAGGTGGGAGGGGCTAACTCCTTTTGCAGATTGAAACCATTGGATCTGAGTTTACTGTGACGTATGTAATGAGCCCGAGTGAGTGAGGCATTTAGCATTTAACCTAGCTTTAGCATGTAGCCTAGCTTTAGAATTTAGCCTAGCTTTAGCATTTAGCCTAGCTTTAGCCATCTCCTTTGTCACTATCGGAGCCCGTGGGGAGTAGAGCCACAACACCTTTGCTTCAATGACATTTACTAAACATTCCTCTTGCTCCGGCTTCAGTTTCTTGATATTTGGATTGAACCAGAACAGATTGTTTTACTATCGCATTCTCCATGGACCAGAGTTTACACATGGTAAGACCAGACGTACATGTAGGAGATGATCATGGACCAGAGTTTACACATGGTAAGACCAGACGTACATGTAGGAAATGACCATGGACCAGAGTTTACACATGGTAAGACCAGACGTACATGTAGGAAATGACCATGGACCAGAGTTTACACATGGTAAGACCAGACGTACATGTAGGAAATGATCATGGACCAGAGTTTACACATGGTAAGACCAGACGTACATGTAGGAAATGATCATGGACGAGAGTTTACACATGGTAAGACCAGACGTACATGTAGGAGATGATCATGGACCAGAGTTTCCACATGGTAAGACCAGACGTACATGTAGGAGATAATCATGGACCAGAGTTTACACATGGTAAGACCAGACGTACATGTAGGAAATGATCATGGACCAGAGTTTACACATGGTAAGACCAGACGTACATGTAGGAAATGATCATGGACCAGAGTTTACACATGGTAAGATGTATTGTATTAAGTATAAAAGGGTGTAAATGGAGCAATCGTTTAGAAATTCTAGTCTTACCCACAACAAAGAAGCCGTCAGGAGTGAGCGAGAACCCAGACGTGTGCTTAGACTTCAGCTCCTGAGAAAGAGACCAGAGAGAGACCAGAGAGAGACCAGAGAGAGAGACCAGAGAGAGACCAGAGAGAGAGACCAGAGAGAGAGACCAGAGAGAGAGACCAGAGAGAGACCAGAGAGAGACCAGAGAGAGAGACCAGAGAGAGACCAGAGAGAGAGACCAGAGAGAGACCAGAGAGAGACCAGAGAGAGACCAGAGAGAGAGACCAGAGAGAGACCAGAGAGAGACCAGAGAGAGAGACCAGAGAGAGACCAGAGAGAGAGACCAGAGAGAGACCAGAGAGAGACCAGAGAGAGAGACCAGAGAGAGACCAGAGAGAGAGACCAGAGAGAGACCAGAGAGAGAGACCAGAGAGAGAGACCAGAGAGAGACCAGAGAGAGACCAGAGAGAGAGACCAGAGAGAGAGACCAGAGAGAGACCAGAGAGAGAGACCAGAGAGACCAGAGAGAGAGACCAGAGAGAGACCAGAGAGAGACCAGAGAGAGAGACCAGAGAGAGACCAGAGAGAGATCAGAGAGAGAGACCAGAGAGAGACCAGAGAGAGACCAGAGAGAGACCAGAGAGAGAGACCAGAGAGAGACCAGAGAGAGACCAGAGAGAGACCAGAGAGAGAGACCAGAGAGAGACCAGAGAGAGACCAGAGAGAGACCAGAGAGAGACCAGAGAGAGAGACCAGAGAGAGACCAGAGAGAGAGACCAGAGAGAGAGACCAGAGAGAGACCAGAGAGAGACCAAACACACAATAAATCACTCTGTACGTGTTTTTAGTGATGGGGGAAAATGGCACACATGTAGGAACCTATACAGGCACTGGGAGAACGTGCAAACTCCACATAGAAAGGCTAAAGGTGGAGTAGAACCTCAGACTTTTATTTCTGCAGCGAGAACAGACGACTTCAGACTTAGACCAAGGTCAACTGATACTCACACTGCTGGGCCGCACCTCCACCGTGGTGTTGTAGAACCGATCCAGACTCGTCTCCACGTCTCCACTGCGGAACAGGTACCTGCCGGAGAGAGGGGTCCAACCTCAGTCCGGGATCTGCAGCCTCAGTCCTGGGTCTACAGCCTCAGTCCTGGGTCTACAGCCTCAGTCCTGGGTCTACAGCCTCAGTCCTGGATCTACAGCCTCAGTCCTGGGTCTACAGCCTCAGTCTTGGGTCTACAGCCTCAGTCCTGGGTCTACAGCCTCAGTCTTGGGTCTACAGCCTCAGTCCTGGGTCTACAGCCTCAGTCCTGGATGTACAGCCTCAGTCCTGGGTCTACAGCCTCAGTCCTGGATCTACAGCCTCAGTCCTGGGTCTACAGCCTCAGTCTTGGGTCTACAGCCTCAGTCCTGGGTCTACAGCCTCAGTCCTGGGTCTACAGCCTCAGTCTTGGGTCTACAGCCTCAGTCCTGGGTCTACAGCCTCAGTCCTGGGTCTACAGCCTCAGTCCTGGGTCCCACACCTGTGGATGTGCAGTGGCTGGCTGAAGTTGAGCAGGATGTAGTCCCCTTTGCTCGGGGTGAGGGCCCAGAGGAAGTCCAGGCCCAGATAGGCCCGGTCCAGACTATGGTCCTGGTGGTGCTTCAGGCTGGAGCTGAGCCGAGCCGCGGGGTTCTGGTGCGGAGAGAACAGGGGCTGCTTCACAAAGTCTTTATCCTGAAATATACACACACACACAAAGACACACACACACAAAGACACACACACACACACACAGACACAGACTCAAACACCTGTATATAACCCTAACCCATCTTATATACAGGTGCAGCTTATGTACAGGTGTGGTTTATATACAGGTGTGGCTTATGTACAGGTGTGGCTTACATACAGGTGTGGCTTATATACAGGTGCGGTTTATGTACAGGTGTGGCTTACATACAGGTGCGGCTTATATACAGGTGCGGCTTATATACTGGTGTGGTTTATATACAGGTGCAGCTTATAAACAGGTGTGGCTTATATACAGGTGTTGCTTACATTCAGGTGTGGCTCATATACAGGTGTGGCTTACATACAGGTGTGGCTCATATACAGGTGTGGCTTACATTTAGGTGTGGCTTATAAACAGGTGTGGCTTATAGTGCACACAGTAATCAGGACCATAACAAGCAGAGAGAGCACCTTGAGCCTCTGTGTCTTTCCGGTCAGAGACGAGTGAGTTCCCACGTGTTGGAACAGAGAAGGTTTGTGCCTCCGCCTCAACAGCGCCTTCTGCTGGTCACAGTGTTTCTGCAACAGACACCATCAGGACAGACACCATCAAGACTGACACCATCAGGACAGACACCATCAAGACTGACACCATCAAAACTGACACCATCAAGACAGACACCATCAAGACTGACACCATCAAGACAGACACCATCAAGGCTGACACCATCAAGACAGACACCATCATCACAGACACCATCAAGACAGACACCATCATCACAGACACCATCAAGACACACACCATCAAGACACACACCATCAAGACTGACACCATCAAGACAGACACCATCAGGACAGACACCATCAAGACTGACACCATCAAGACTGACACCATCAAGACAGACACCATCAAGACAGACACCATCAAGGCTGACACCATCAAGACAGACACCATCAGGACAGACACCATCATCACAGACACCATCAAGACTGACACCATCAAGACAGACACCATCAGGACAGACACCATCAAGACAGACACCATCATCACAGACACCATCAAGACTGACACCATCAGGACAGACACCATCATCACAGACACCATCAAGACTGACACCATCAAGACAGACACCATCAGGACCGACACCATCAAGACAGACACCATCATCACAAACACCATCAAGACTGACACCATCAAGACTGACACCATCAAGACAGACACCATCAAGACAGACACCATCAAGACTGACACCATCAAGACACACGCCATCAAGGCTGACACCATCAAGACTGACACCATCAGGACAGACACCATCAAGACTGACACCATCAAGACAGACACCATCATCACAGACACCATCAAGACTGACACCATCAGGACAGACACCATCATCACAGACACCATCAAGACTGACACCATCAAGACAGACACCATCAGGACCGACACCATCAAGACAGACACCATCATCACAAACACCATCAAGACTGACACCATCAAGACTGACACCATCAAGACAGACACCATCAAGACAGACACCATCAAGACTGACACCATCAAGACACACGCCATCAAGGCTGACACCATCAAGACTGACACCATCAGGACAGACACCATCAAGACTGACACCATCAAGACAGACACCATCATCACAGACACCATCAAGACTGACACCATCAAGACACACACCATCAAGACTGACACCATCAAGACACACACCATCAAGACTGACACCATCAAGACTGACACCATCAAGACAGACACCATCAAGACTGACACCATCAAGACTGACGCCATCAAGGCTGACACCATCAAGACACACACCATCAAGACTGACACCATCAAGACACACACCATCAAGACTGACACCATCAAGACACACACCATCAAAACAGACACCATCAAGACAGACACCATCAAGATTGACACTATCAAGACTGACACCATCAACAGAGTCACCATCATGACAGACACCATCAAGACTGACACCATCAAGACAGACACCATCAGGACAGACACCATCATCACAGACACCATCAAGACAGACACCATCATCACAGACACCATCAAGACTGACACCATCAAGACTGACACCATCAAGACTGACACCATCAAGACATACACCATCAAGACTGACGCCATCAAGGCTGACACCATCAAGACAGACACCATCAGGACAGACACCATCAAGACTGACACCATCAAGACAGACACCATCATCACAGACACCATCAAGACTGACACCATCAAGACACACACCATCAAGACTGACACCATCAAGACACACACCATCAAAACAGACACCATCAAGACAGACACCATCAAGATTGACACTATCAAGACTGACACCATCAACACAGACACCTAGGCCTGTCACGATAACAAATTTTGCTGGACGATTAATTGTCTCAGAAATTATTGCGATAAGCGATTATATTGTCGTTCTGAGATCATTTGCATCGATTAGAATGATAATGCAGGTACACCTTTTCAAAGAGAATAAACTTTTATTTTTAACGAATATTTAACGCTAGAACACAATAAATTAACAAACAACCAAAAACAATAAATAACAGACTCAGTCTCTTAACAAAAAATGACCAGGAATAAAACTGCCAGGACCTTTGTAAAGAAACTATGAAACAGATGCCTCAAATGTCAATAATTTCTCAGACTTTATGACAGATTACAAGAAAGAAATACCAACATGTTGACTTTGTGTGGCTTAAGACAGGATCTCTCAGGAGTAGTCCCGCCTCCCCACACACCAGGCGAATGACAAGTGACTGACATGTGGGTTCACCAATGGGGCGTACAGAAGTCCTGCTGCGGTAGCGCCCACCGGAAGTAGCGGGGCGGGCTTTGATGCTAACAGCTAAGCTAGCGGGTTTTTTGTGTAAAGTTCTACTCCAAGAATGCAAGTCTGCAGCATCTCTGTGTTCAGAGACCTTCTAGAGACTTTATATAACAGCAGTATGTGTTCACGGAGGTGCGCCATAAGTTTATTTTATTGGTATGGGACGGTACTTCTGCATCGGCGAACACGCTAACGCTAGCTGCGCTAGTATAGTCACTAAACAAGCCTGAATGAGAACTCAGCTGCCGGCATATGTTCACAACTACTGTGTCCCCCATTGTCAATCCTGGTTAAGTCCTGGTTTAGGTCCTGTTTTGGCTGTATTTTGTATTTTTGAGTAATTTCCGTCTGCTTGCTAGACCGCTAATGTTCCCGTGACCACTTTGCGGCTCTCTGACCCGAGAGAGACGGGGTAAACAAACAAGCATGCAAATGGGATTTATCGCGGCCAGAAAAGTTATTGAGCAAATTTTATTTATCGTGCGATTAATTGATTTATTGACTATCGCGGCAGGCCTACAGACACCATCAACAGAGTCACCATCATGACAGACACCATCAAGCCAGAGACCATCAGGACAGACACCATCAACACAGACACCATTAACACAGACACCAACAAGACATTCACCATCAAGACAGACACCATTAAGACTGACACTATCAAAACAGAGAGACTGTCCTCCTCCTCTGACTTCTTTCTCTGTTCTCCTCCTCTGACCTCCTCCTCTGTCCTCCTCCTCTGTCCTCCTCCTCTGTCCTCCTCCTCTGACCTCCTCCTCTGTCCTCCTCCTCTGACCTCCTCCTCTGTCCTCCTCCTCTGACCTCCTCCTCTGTCCTCCTCTGACCTCCTCCTCTGACCTCCTCCTCTGTCCTCCTCTGTCCTCCTCCTCTGTCCTCTGTCCTCCTCCTGACCTCCTCCTCTGACCTCCTCCTGTCCTCCTCCTCCTGACCTCCTCCTCTGACCTCCCCGTCCTCCTCCTCCTGTCCTCCTCCTCTGTCCTCCTCCTCTGTCCTCCTCCTCTGACCTCCTCCTCTGTCCTCCTCCTCTGTCCTCCTCCTCCTGTCCTCCTCCTCCTGTCCTCCTCCTCCTCTGACCTCCTCCTCTGTCCTCCTCCTCTGACCTCCTCCTCCTGTCCTCCTCCTCCTTTCCTCCTCCTCCTCTGTCCTCTTCCTCTGTCCTCCTCTTCTGACCTCCTCTGACCTCCTCCTCCTGTCCTCCTCCTCCTCTGTCCTCCTCCTCTGTCCTCCTCCTGACCTCCTCCTCTGACCTCCTCCTGTCCTCCTCCTCCTGACCTCCTCCTGTCCTCCTCCTCTGTCCTCCTCCTCTGACCTCCTCCTCCTGTCCTCCCCCTCTGTCCTCCTCCTCTGACCTCCTCCTCTGACCTCCTCCTCCTCTGTCCTCCTCCTCTGACCTCCTCCTCCTGTCCTCCTCCTCCTGTCCTCCTCCTCCTCTGACCTCCTCCTCTGTCCTCCTCTGACCTCCTCCTCCTGTCCTCCTCCTCCTCTGTCCTCCTCCTCCTCTGTCCTCCTCCTCCTCTGTCCTCCTCCTCTGTCCTCCTCCTCTGACCTCCTCCTCCTGTCCTCCTCCTCCTCTGACCGCCTCCTCTGTCCTCCTCCTCTGACCTCCTCCTCTGACCTCCTCCTCTGACCTCCTCCTCTGTCCTCCTCCTCTGACCTCCTCCTCTGACCTCCTCCTCTGACCTCCTCCTCTGACCTCCTCCTCTGACCTCCTCCTCCTGTCCTCCTCCTCTGACCTCCTCCTCCTGTCCTCCTCCTCTGACCTCCTCCTCTGACCTCCTCCTCTGACCTCCTCCTCTGACCTCCTCCTCCTGTCCTCCTCCTCTGACCTCCTCCTCTGACCTCCTCCTCTGACCTCCTCCTCCTGTCCTCCTCCTCCTCTCTCCTCCTCCTCTGTCCTCCTCCTCTGACCTCCTCCTCTGACCTCCTCCTCTGACCTCCTCCTCCTGTCCTCCTCCTCTGACCTCCTCCTCTGACCTCCTCCTCTGACCTCCTCCTCCTGTCCTCCTCCTCCTCTCTCCTCCTCCTCTGTCCTCCTCCTCTGACCTCCTCCTCTGAACTCCTCCTCTGACCTCCTCCTCCGACCTCTTACATATTTACAGTGACTCACCATCAACAGTCATTGAAAATAGAACAAGTGATGACTGAGAGGAGAAACCCCCCTGAGGGACAGGTTTCTCTTGTTTTCCCAGAACATCATGGGCCACTGGGCTGCAGAGTGCCAAGCTGTGGGTGCGTCCACACACACAAACACACACACAGATACACACACACACATAAAGACACACACAGACACACACACACACACAGACACACAAAGACACACACACACACACACAGACACACACACTTACAGGGTCCTTCTCTGGGTTACACATCTTGACCCACAGGATGTGGTCCAGGAGCCAGTCCACAGGTTTGTCTCGGTGGAACATCAGGAAGAAGGCCACGATCATCGGGAGATCTCGGGTCCGGAACATTTTCCCTGAAAATCAGATTCATGGTTTTCATGACACACATGGTGCTGTTTCACATTCACAAATAAGAGTTTGGCCCAGACCGGTATCGGCCCAGACCAGTATCGGCCCAGACCAGTATCGGCCCAGACCAGTATCGGCCCAGACCAGTATCGGCCCAGACAAGTATCATATGGGTTTTAAGTTTGAATACAGGCTGAAACGGGTTTAACTGAAATTCAATCTGGAGAGACGAGAAGACAAAATGCATTTGAAGTATTTATTGAAGGTAGTTTGGCGCTCTAGGCCCCGGTGCGGCGTTCAGTCAGCGAGGCTCCTGCGAGAGTGCGCGCACAATCCCCCGGGACCTAGGCACTGGTGGCGGCATTTGGCAGCAGGAGGGCAGATGAGGCAGGGTGAAGAGGAGGAGGAGGGGAGGCGGTGGTTGCAAGGCTTTGAGAAGGCCGTGAAGTGGGAGTTTCTCCGCTTTTAAGCGGCTGGCCTGGCCGGCATAGGTTGATTGGAAATGGGCGTTTGCTGTGCGATAGGCTGGGGATGCGAGGCCGGCTTGGAAGGGGTGGCTTTGGCTGACGTCTTCCAAATTGAATTTCCGCGAGGCTGCATTACAGTAAATGTAAACGTCTGTAAATCCTTCTGCATGTGTTGCTACGGTAACTAGCACTTGCTCTAAGCTGAGATTGGTCTGAACCAGAACCTTGGAGAAAACAGGTTTTAACTTTCATAGAAGGTTGGTTTCAAAACAATCAAACATACTACATTTGTATTTTACATTCAAATGAATGAAGCAGTCCAAATGACTGCCCTGGGAGATAAAGCTAGAACTACTCCTATTAAACAGAATAAAATACTTTTTCATAACAATAAAGACATAATAGAGAAAAACAAAGAACAACAAAGAATAAGAAAAGTCACAAAGTTATGAAGACCAAAAGTAAAAGCAGTTAAATTGACTGGTCTGTGAGAGAGGACAATCACAGGACACACTTCCTGGACCCTTCAGGGTTCAGACCTATGAATCCCAGATGAGAGAACTCGAGGTAGAGCCAGGTCCCGGACTCCTCCTGCTTCTGCACGAACGAATTCATCGACGACAAGTAGTCAGACTTTGCAACTATGTCGTCCTCCAACTGCGGCACAGAAGAAGAGGACTTCACAGTGAACCATACTGTACCGTACTGTACTATAGTGAACCGTACTGTACTATAGTGAAATGTACTGTACTGTACTGTACTATAGTGAACCGTACTGTACTGTAGTGAACCGTACTGTACCGTACTGTACTATAGTGAACCGTACTGTACTAGAGTGAACCGTACTGTACTGTAGTGAACCGTACTGTACTGTACTGTACTATAGTGAACCATACTGTACTATAGTGAACCGTACTGTACTATAGTGAACCGTACTGTACTATAGTGAACCGTACTGTACTATAGTAAACCATAATATACCGTTCTGTACTATAGTAAACCGTACTGTACTATATTAAAGTGAACTGAACAGTACTATATTATACTATACTGTACTAAAGTGAACTGAAGAGTACTGTACTATACCGTACCGTTAGCTTGTGTGTGATACACTAGCTCACCTGCACATAGTACGTCCCTTTGCTCTGTGCGTACAACATGAGGAAGCTGAAGTCCAGGTTCTGCTTCGTGCGCCACCTAGAAGCACATCACAGCATCACATCTGAGTGTGTGTAGTGTTGTGTAGAGTGTGTAGAGTTGTGTAGAGAGTGTAGTGTTGTGTAGTGTGTGTAGTGTTGTGTAGAGTGTGTAGTGTTGTGTCGAGAGTGTGTAGTGTTGTGTAGAGTGTGTAGTGTTGTGTAGAGTGTTGTGTAGAGTGTGTAGTGTTGTGTCGAGAGTGTGCAGTGTTGTGTAGAGTGTGTAGTGTTGTGTAGAGTGTGTAGTGTTGTATAGAGTGTGTAGTGTTGTGTAGAGTGTGTAGTGTTGTATAGAGTGTGTAGTGATGTGTAGAGTGTGTAGTGTTGTGTCGAGAGTGTGTAGTGTTGTGTAGAGTGTGTAGTGTTGTGTAGAGTGTGTAGTGTTGTGTCGAGAGTGTGTAGTGTTGTGTAGAGTGTGTAGCGTTGTGTAGAGTGTGTAGCGTTGTGTAGAGTGTGTAGTGTTGTATCAAGAGTGTGTAGTGTTGTGTAGAGTGTGTAGTGTTGTGTCGAGAGTGTGTAGTGTTGTGTAGAGTGTGTAGTGTTGTGTAGAGTATTGTGTAGAGTGTGTAGTGTTGTGTCGAGAGTGTGTAGTGTTGTGTAGAGTGTGTAGTGTTGTGTAGAGTGTTGTGTAGAGTGTGTAGTGTTGTGTCGAGAGTGTGCAGTGTTGTGTAGAGTGTGTAGTGTTGTGTAGAGTGTGTAGTGTTGTGTAGAGTGTGTAGTGTTGTGTCGAGAGTGTGTAGTGTTGTGTAGTGTGTGTAGTGTTGTGTCGAGAGTGTGTAGTGTTGTGTAGAGTGTGTCGAGAGTGTGTAGTGTTGTGTAGAGTGTGTAGTGTTGTGTCGAGAGTGTGTAGTGTTGTGTAGAGTGTGTAGCGTTGTGTAGAGTGTGTAGTGTTGTATCGAGAGTGTGTAGTGTTGTGTAGAGTGTGTAGTGTTGTGTCGAGAGTGTGTAGTGTTGTGTCGAGAGTGTGTAGTGTTGTGTAGAGTGTGTAGTGTTGTGTAGAGTGTGTAGTGTTGTGTAGAGTGTGTAGTGTTGTGTAGAGTGTGTAGTGTTGTGTAGAGTGTGTAGTGTTGTGTAGAGTGTGTAGTGTTGTGTAGAGTGAGTGGATGCAAAACAACTTCCTTCAGCTAAACGCGGACAAAACAAACCTCCAGTCTCTCTCCCTAAAACCTTCAAACAAGGTCAGAAATCTAGGGGTAATACTGGACTCAGACTTAAATTTTAATAGCCACATCAAATCAGTAACATCAGCAGCTTTTTACCATCTAAAAAACATTGCCAGGATCAAAAACATAGTGTCTAAAGCAGACTTGGAGATTCTTATCCATGCATTTGTCTCCAGTAGGTTAGACTACTGCAATGGCCTGCTCACAGGTCTGTCCAAACAGGCTGTAAAACAGCTGCAGTACATTCAAAATGCAGCAGCTCGAGTCCTGACTAGAACCAGGAAGTACGACCATATTAGTCCAGTCCTCAGGTCTCTGCACTGGCTTCCTGTGGCTCAGAGAATAGACTTTAAAACAGCTCTGCTTGTTACAAGTCTCTCCATGGCCTCGCACCAAAATATATTAGTGACATGTTAGTCCCATATGAACCAGCCCGGACTCTGAGGAGCACAGGGACTGGACTCCTGCTGGGACTCTGAGGAGCACAGGGACTGGACTCCTGCTGGGACTCTGAGGAGCACAGGGACTGGACTCCTGTTAGTGCCCAGAGTCAGAACTAAACATGGGGAGGCTGCTTTTCAGATTCATGCTGCTAAAATCTGGAACAATCTTCCTGAAGATGTGAGACAGGCCTCCTCTCTGACAATGTTTAAAACCAAGTTAAAGACAGTTCTGTTTAGCTGTGCATACAACTGAGGGATTTTATATTTTTATCTTTCTTTTTAATGTTCTGTGATTATTTATGATTTTAATGCTTTCTTGTTTTGTTCAGCACTTTGAGTTGCCTTGTGTATGAATTGTGCTATATAAATAAACTTGCCTTGCCTACTATACTGTACTGCATTGTACTATACTGTACTATAGTATACTGTACTATACTATACTGTACTATACTCTACTGTACTGCACTATACTGTACTATACTCTACTGTACTGCACTGTACTATAGTGTACTGTACTATACTGTACTGTCCTATACTGCACTGTACTATACTGTTCTGTACTATACTGTACTGAACTGTACTATACTGAACTGTACTATACTGTAATGTACTGTACTATACTGTTCTGTACTATACTGTACTGTAATATACTGTTCTGTACTAAACTGTACTGTACTATACTGTTCTGTACTATACTGTACTGTAATATACTGTTCTGTACTAAACTGTACTGTACTATACTGTACTGTACTATACTCTACTGTACTGCACTATACTGTACTATACTCTACTGTACTGCACTGTACTATACTGTACTGTCCTATACTGCACTGTACTATACTGTTCTGTACTATACTGTACTATACTGTTCTGTCCTATACTGCACTGTACTGTACTATTCTGTACTGTACTATACTGTTCTGTACTATACTGTACTGTACTATACTGTACTGTACTATACTGTACTGTACTATACTGTACTATACTGTACTATACTGTATTATACTGTACTATACTGTTCTATACTGTACTGTACTACACTGGGCTGTACTATACTATACTGTACTGTACTGTATCTGTACTACACACTCTCTACACAATACAACACACACTCTACATAACACTACACACTCTACACAACACTACACTCTACACAACACTAGACACACTCTACACAACACTATTATTTTTTTTATTTTTATTTTTTATTTATTTATTTAAAGGGACAATGCATATTAATGAACATGTAAATGTAAATATGCCAGAATTAGCCAATGGCTACTTTC